TTACTATTAGGCCCAGAAAAGGAAGTGTGCAAACGCATGCACCCAATAGCAAAACCCAGAATGTCATGGTTTAATTCGCGCTCTGAAGAAAACTATTTTGTTTTTAGGTACAAAAATAGATTTGTTTTTCAAAATGGAACATGTTCATAGGCTGCTTTGTGGAAAAATACACTATGTGGACACCTGCTCGTCGAACATCTCATTTCAAAATTACGGGCATTAATATGGAGTTGGTCCACCTTTGCTGCTATACCAGCCTCCACTCTTCTGGGAAGGCTTTCCACTAGATGTTGTAACATAGCTGCGGGGACTTGCTTCCATTCAGCCACAAGCATTAGTGAGGTCGGTCACTGATGTTGGGCAATTAGGCCTGGCTCACAGTCGGCGCTCCAATTCATCCCAAAGGTTGGGATTGAGGTCAGAGCTCTGTGCAGGCCAGTCAAGTTCTTCCACACCAATCTCGACAAACCATTTCTGTATGGACCTCGCTTTGTGCACGGGGGCATTGTCATGGTGAAACAGGAAAGGGCCTTCCCCAAACTGTTGCTACAAAGTTGGAAGTACAGAATCGTCTAGAGTGTCATTGTATGCTGTAGCCTTAAGATTTCCCTTCACTGGAACTAAGAGCCCAAACCATGAAAAGCAGCCCCAGACCATTATTCCTCCACCAAACTTTACAGTTGGCACTATGCATAAGTCCGTCCAACTGCCAGATGGTGAAGCGTGATTAATCACTCCAGAGAATGCGTTTCCACTGCTCCAGAGTCCAAAGGCGGCGCTTCTCAGTGCGCATGGTGATCTTAGGCTTGTGTGCGGCTGCTCGGCCATGGAAACCCATTTCATGAAGCTCCCGATGAACAGTTCTTGTGCTGACAATGCTTCCAGAGGCAGATTGGAACTCAGTAGTGCATGTTGCAACTGAGGACAAACGATTTTTATGCGCTTCAGCACTCGGCGGTCCCGTTCTGTGAGCTTGTGTGGCCTACCACTTTGCTGTGAGCTTGTGTGGCCTACCCCTTCGCGGCTGAGCCGTTTTTGCTCCTAGACTTTTCCACTTCACAATAACAGCACTTACAGTTGACCGGGGCAGCTCTAGCAGGCCAGAAATGTGATGAACTTACTTGTTGGAAAGGTGGTATCCTATGAAGGTGCCACTTTGAAAGTCACTGAGCTTTTCAGTACGGGCCATTCTACTGCCAATGTTTGTCTATAGAGATTGCATGGCTGTGTGCTCGATTTTATACACCTCTCAGCATCAGGTGTAAAATCCTCTCAGCATCGGGTGTGGCTGAAATAGCCGCATCCTCTAATTTGAAGGGGTGTCCACATACTTTTGGCCAACTGGAACAAGAACGTTGCATATTTTCCGTTGCCCTGTTGGCAGTAGGGGCGCGTGTGAGCGCTGTCCCAGGTGGCACCACACACAAGACAAATGTAGCTCCTCAGAATGGGGCAGATGATTTAGCCATCTTTGGATTTCAGTTTGTGGATCGGGTAGATCTCTGCCGTTTCTCCGTTCTGCTTGCAGAAGCCGCAGTAATCACCGGAGGTCAGGCTGCGGCTTGTGTTGTCTGAAATGCTGCTTGCAGAGGTCAGACTCTCAGTCCCGATAGAGTCAGACGAAACCGGTGTTGCGACCGATCTGGTGGTGCTTCGGCACGTGCCCCTTCAGCTGGGTAAAGCCTCCCCAGGTTCATAATACCCATAAAACCTAGTAGTCAAACAGGGAAATGGTTCCAATTGTTTTCCATAGGGGATTTTAGAAACACTTAAAATAAGGGCTGTGTTTCGAGTATGCTAACCCTGGCGTGAAGTTTTGATAATGTGTAAATCTCTGTATTTGGTAGGTATTAACACATGTAAAATATTCAATCTGATTTAATGGGTCCCTTTTGTCTCATGAATGTATTGTTTTCAAGTTTGTATTAATCCAATATGTAGCCAAATTGTTGCTTTTATAGAGGACAATAATGGCCATGGTTATAGTCTGTAATGTGAGATTTTAACGCAAACGTTGTGTGCTAAATGCCTCAACTCTATAATATAATAAATATATGTCATTTAGCAGACGCTTTTATCCAAAGCGACTTAAAGTCATGCGTGCATAAATTTTTACGTATGGGTGGTCCCGGGGATCGAACCCACTAATCTGGCGTTACAAGCGCCATGCTCTACCAATTGAGCTACAGAGGACTCTACATTGCTGACAGAATTCCTGATTATTACTGTAAATATGTTAACTATATAAATAGAGGCGTGCTTAATAGGGCCCTGAAAGGGCTAACGGGTTTAAACGTTAAAGGTCAATGGGTGTCTTCTTGATGTTGTTTTGCATCTGCACATGGAGCGTCATAAGTCTAGATCTTGATGTTACATTTACATTTTCATTTTACATTTTCGTCATTTAGCAGACGCTCTTATCCAGAGCGACTTACAAATTGGTGCATTCACCTTATGATAGCCAGTGGGACAACCACTTTTTTTTTGGGGGGGGGGGGTAAGGGGGGGTAGAAGGATTACTTAAAGAGGTGGGGATTTAAGTGTCTCCGGAAGGTGGTGAGTGACTCCGCTGTCCTGACGTCGTGGGGGAGCTTGTTCCACCATTGGGGTGCCAGAGCAGCGAACAGTTTTGACTGGGCTGAGCGGGAACTGTGCTTCCGCAGAGGTAGGGGAGCCAGCAGGCCAGAGGTGGATGAACGTAGTGCCCTCTTTTGGGTGTAGGGACTGATCAGAGCCTGAAGGTACGGAGGTGCCGTTCCCCTCACAGCTCCGTAGGCAAGCACCATGGTCTTGTAGCAGATGCGAGCTTCAACTGGAAGCCAGTGGAGTGTGCGGAGGAGCGGGGTGACGTGAGAGAACTTGGGAAGGTCGAACACCAGACGGGCTGCAGCGTTCTGGTTGTAGGGGTTTAATGGCACAGGCAGGGAGCCCAGCCAACAGCGAGTTGCAGTAATCCAGACGGGAGATGAGAAGTGCCTGGATTAGGACCTGTGCCGCTTCCTGTGTAAGGCAGGGTCGTACTCTACGAATGTTGTAGAGCATGAACCTACAGGATCGGGTCACCGCCTTGATGTTAGCGGAGAACGACAGGGTGTTGTCCAGGGTCACGCCAAGGATCTTTGCACTCTGGGAGGAGGACACAACGGAGTTGTCAACCGTGATGGCGAGAACATGGAACGGGCAGTCCTTCCCCGGGAGGAAGAGCAGCTCTGTCTTGCCGAGGTTCAGCTTGAGGTGGTGATCCGTCATCCACACTGATATGTCTGCCAGACATGCAGAGATGCGATTCGCCACCTGGTTATCAGAAGGGGGGAAAGGAGAAGATTAATTGTGTGTCGTCTGCGTAGCAATGATAGGAAAGGCCATGTGAGGATATGACAGAGCCAAGTGACTTGGTGTATAGCGAGAATAGGAGAGGGCCTAGAACTGAGCCCTGGGGGACACCAGTGGTGAGAGCATGTGGTGCGGAGACAGATTCTCGCCACGCCACCTGGTAGGAGCGACCTGTCAGGTAGGACGCAATCCAAGAGTGAGCCACGCCGGAGATGCCCAAATCGGAGAGGGTGGAGAGGAGGATCTGATGGTTCACAGTATCAAAGGCAGCAGATAGGTCTAGAAGGACGAGAGCAGAGGAGAGAGAGTTAGCTTTAGCAGTGCGGAGAGCCTCCGTGACACAGAGAAGAGCAGTCTCAGTTGAATGACCAGTCTTGAAACCTGACTGGTTTGGATCAAAAAGGTCATTCTGAGAGAGATAGCAAGAGAGTTGGTTAAAGACGGCACGCTCAAGAGTTTTGGAGAGAAAAGAAAGAAGGGATACTGGTCTGTAGTTGATGACATCGGAGGGATCGAGTGTAGGTTTTTTGAGAAGGGGTGCAACTCTCGCTCTCTTGAAGACGGAAGGGACATAGCCAGCAGTCAAGGATGAGTTGATGAGCGAGGTGAGGTAAGGGAGAAGGTCTCCGGAAATGGTCTGGAGAAGAGAGGAGGGGATAGGGTCAAGCGGGCAGGTTGTTGGGCGGCCGGCCATCACAAGTCGCAAGATTTCATCTGGAGAGAGAGGGGAGAAAGGAGTCAAAGCATAGGGTAGGGCAGTGTGAGCAGGAGCAGCGGTGTCATTTGACTTAACAAACGAGGATCGGATGTCGTCAACCTTCTTTTCAAAATGGTTGACGAAGTTATCCACAGAGAGGGGGGGGGGGGGGGGGGGGGGATTCAGCAGGTAGAGCTTCCTAGGGTTAGAGGCAGATGCTTGGAATTTAAAGTGGTAGAAAGTGGCTTTAGCAGCAGAAACAGAGGAATAAAATGTAGAGAGGAGGGAGTGAAAAGATGCCAGGTCCGCAGGGAGTCTAGTTTTCCTCCATTTCCTCTCGGCTGCCCGGAGCCCTGTTCTGTGAGCTCGCAATGAGTCGTCAAGCCACGGAGCAGGAGGGGAGGACCGTGCCGGCCGGGAGGATAGGGGACATAGAGAGTCAAAGGATGCAGAAAGGGAGGAGAGGAGGGTTGAGGAGGCAGAATCAGGAGATTGGAGGGAGAAGGATTGAGCAGAGGGAAGAGATGATAGGATGGAAGTGGAGAGAGTAGCGGGAGAGAGAGAGCGAAGGTTGCGACGGCGCATTACCATCTGAGTAGGGGCAGAGTGAGTAGTGTTGAGGAGAGCGAGAGAGAAAAAGATACAAAGTAGTGGTCGGAGACTTGGAGGAGTGTTGCAGTGAGATTAGTAGAACAGCATCTAGTAAAGATGAGGTCAAGCGTATTGCCTGCCTTGTGAGTAGGTGGGGACGGTGAGAGGGTGAGGTCAAAAGAGGAGAGGAGTGGAAAGAAGGAGGCAGAGAGAAATGAGTCAAGGGTAGACGTAGGGAGGTTAAAGTCACCCAGAACTGTGAGGGGTGAGCCATCCTCAGGAAAGGAACTTATCAAGGCGTCAAGCTCATTGATGAACTCTCCAAGGGCGATAAATGACAAGGATGTTAAGCTTGAATGGGCTAGTGACTGTGACAGCATAGAATTCAAATGAGGAGATAGACAGATGGGTCAGGGGAGAAAGAGAGAATGTCCACTTGGGAGAGATGAGGATTCCTGTGCCACCACCCCGCTGACCAGATGCTCTCGGGGTATGCGAGAACACATGGTCAGACGAGGAGAGAGCAGTAGGAGTAGCAGTGTTTTCTGTGGTAATCCATGTTTCCGTCAGCGCCAAGAAGTCGAGGGACTGGATGGTAGCATAGGCTGAGATTAACTCTGCCTTGTTGGCCGCAGAACGGCAGTTGTTTTGCATCTGCACACGGAGCCTCATAAGTCTAGATCTTGATGTTGTTTTGCATCTGCACACGGAGCCTCATAAGTCTAGACCAGCTTCTGGTCAGAAACATAGTATCACATTTAGGCTCCTTAGCTTTTTGACTGCATGCCAGTTGCAAACCCTGATGCATTCTCCACCAGCTGCATGTGTTTCCTACAGTACATTGACTGAGTTGACCATGTGCAGTGAGAAAAACATGACAAAATGTTATAAAATCATTGATAGATGGCTGTTTTTTTCATGTAACATAAATGCAAACATTGTACATTGTGGTAGTTACCGTGCAACCTGCAGAATTCTGTTTTAAACATTCTACAAGATGTTTACTGTGATGTCAGAAATGGAAGAATTCCATTTTTGTTTTATCACAGACCTTATAGTTCCAACTGAGGATTCCAAGTGATTCTGAAAAGTTCCGAAACTTTGACACATTTCACTTTTGTCTTCGCTAACAAGCTGCTCAACTTTCAAGCTCTTTGCTTTATACCTCTGTAATTTTCATCATTTTAAATTAATAATGTGGTAAGTGATTTATTTTAGAAGTTGTTTGATGTATTCTCTTGTTAGTAAAGGCTACTTATCATTTTAGGCACTGACTGAAATCTCAGATGGAAAATAAGGTATTATTTCACTAGTGGAAATTTTGAAGCCAGTCTTGGTCCAAATCACACAAAGAATACAGAAAACGGCTTAAAATTCAAACCTTTTACAAGTCAATAATTGTCTATTTGGCAGAATTTGTCAAATGCAAGATATTATATACTCTATTAATTCCTCCCTTTGTTTTGTAGGCGATCTACAGGCATGAAATCACGTTTTCTGAAGCCTGGCCCCAGGTACACCCAACCCGATTGGTCCTTCAACAACAATCTGGTCACCAAAAAGTCTGAGCTGCAGAGGGCTTTAGCCTATCAGATCAACCAGGATCTTCACTGTGCACGTGGAGATGCTACCACTCAGGTAACACATTGTGTCCCCCAGCTTTTTTAGAGGAACCCTACTGCTCTCTTTTCAGTGTATGGGAATAAACCCCTGCACACCTCACGATCTGGGGGTGAAATCTCAGATCTGAGGGTTGTGCTGACAAAACATCAGATCCAGTCTATATTAGGCTTAAAACAATGCTGAACTAGCAATATATAATGAAATTCATTGACTCTCCACTGGAATGCAATGTCCTCTTTTCCACCTGTTGGTTTAGATCCGCTGGGCCACCTGGAGCACCAAGGACCACCTGACCAACCGCGTAGAGGAGCTGGGGCACTGGCAGAGCCAATCAGCTGACAGCATCGGCAGAGTAGACCAGGAGATGGCAGCCTTAGTGAAGGTAGAGTGGAGTCAGGGTGTATGCAGGGCCAGGGAGAACAGTTGGGACACTCGAGACACACTGCACTGCTGCGTTTACACAGGCAGCCCAATTCTGATCTTTTTTTCCACTAATTGGTCTTTTGACCAATCACATCAGATCTTTTCACATCAGATCTTTTTCAGAGCTGATCTGATTGGACTAAACACCTGTCTAAACGCAGCCATAGAGATGCAACCAACATCTGAGAATGTTCAGATTTCAATGTGTTGTGTAGAACCAGGTGATTGGTGATCATGTAGGAATAGGGAATCTGGTCCACAGATACTACATTCCCATGACTGTAAATTACTCTCTCTTGTCGTGTGTGTGATTTAAACTGGATGTTTCCAGGTGAAGGCGATCGCTGAGCGCTGTCTGCAGGAGAAGGTCCTGTACAGGCAGGTGCTGAGGGAGTGTGTGGCGCTCCGAGACGGCCGGACGGCGGCGGAGCTGGTCCATGACGACGTGGAGGCTGAGCTGAAGCGGGAGGTGGAACTGGCTGAGGAGATCATCCACCTGATTCAGCAGAAGATCCACCTGGTCCTGGACAACCTCTGGTCAGAGACTGGCCCTATTCCCTATGTAGTACATTACTTTTGACCTGGGTCCATAGGCTGCTGTTGTGAGTCTTGGATAGTAAAAGGCACTTGTCTCGTTTTTTGCGCAAATATTCCAATGACATTAATTAATTATTTGCAGATTGTAAAGTCTTTATCTCAACTGTCTCAAATCAGTCCCATAGGCATACCTAGATTGCTATCTATGGCTGCGTTTACACAGACAGCCCAAATGATATTTTGCCAAATTATTGGCTACCTGTGTAAACGCAGCCATTGAGTCTGCAAATTGTTCACCTAATCTGACTGTATATGAATGCATTATGTCCTCACTCTACCTGTAGGTCTCTGAAGGACGTGCGTACCCAGCTGATGGCCGACCACAGGGACAAGGGAGAAGCTGTGAAGCTCAACAAACACTGTCTGACCTTTGACCTCCAGTCACCCAACCTGGGCTACAAATACCAACCCTGCCACATCGTCAAGGGGTGAGTTAATCAATCAATCAATCAATCAATCAATCAATCAATGGGCGTAAACATCTGCCCCCCGGGTCATAGTTTCCTACCTAAAGCTTTTTAGTCTAGTTGGAGGTGAAAAGAAAAGCCGGAAAGTTTCACTACTTTAGCTATTTATTTGATAAACCCTCTCTCCATCTTACCCAGAACCCTGACCTATGATCAGTGGGTTGCTTACTGCAAAAGACTGAAGCAGACAGCAGAGAAACTGGTCCTGGACTGCTCTTACTTCCGTGGAAATCTGCAGTATACCCTCTCCAAGGTATAGTACAGGGTGGAACATCGTTTTGCATGCTCGTCCTTATATTGACTGTATGTAAATGCATTCAACAACGTTATATCAGTGCCTTATTTGGAAAGAGATTGACTGAAGGACTGGCACAGACTCTGTTTATGTTTGCCATACATATCTGGCTATCTGATAAATGTATGTGTCATTCCTGTATGTCTGAGTCACTGTGTGTATCCTGTTGGTGGAGTAGCTGATGAATGCTCTGGAGACCCAGCGCTGTGCCTCTGACTTCTGCCTGAGGAAGAGGCTGAATGAGCTGAGCCGTGCCAGGGATGCCCTAGAGTGGGAGAAACAGCAGGTTAGTGTTCAGCTGTCCTGGTCCTAGCCATGTTGCTCATTCATCTGCCGTGCAGTTGGGACCTGCCTTGTGATCACTTGGCATTTCTGACAATATTCACACTGTTGTGAAACGTGGTATGGAATTATGCAAAACACACTGTAGAAAATGATAGTCATAGTTTATCAATGTAAACAATTCATAATTTCTATTGTGCTTAGTAAATAGTGATACTAATGAAATAAGTTGACTGACCTGTAACTGACCTTTTAACCTGTCCCCAGTTGAAGGAGACAGTGGTGGACCTGGTCAAGGAGATGCAGAAGGTGGAGAGACAGATCATGAACTCTGGCTCTGAGCAGCAGCTGGCCCACACCCGGCTGGACATCCTGGCCCAGAGGGCCAACTACGAGCTCTGCATGGACCAGGTCTGGCTGGCTGGCTAGTCTGTCTGTCTGTCTAGTATATGTGTCTGTCACCTGCCTTCTCTCATCCTAAAATAGTTTAATGTTAACAATACAATGTTCATTGTTTGTTGTCAGTGTGTATGAGTGGCTGCCCTAACCCAGTGCTACCCCTCCAGCCCCACATTGCTCTTCTGAAGGAGAACAAGAACCTGAGGAAGAACACCTTCGGCCTGCAGAATAAACTCCTCCTCTCTCAGTGAGTTATCCCTCACAGTAGTGAAGATGACAAATTCATCTGCTAAAACATACCTTCTCTGGAACTAACAGAGCATGAACATATGACACCTAACTATTCTATGACAGCAATATTGCCTCCTTGTGGTTATGGGTATGAAAGACATTGGGATAATTGTCTTGACTACATCAACAACATAACACACTTAAATGCTTGATAACTGACTATTATCTATCTCTAACCTGATATACAGGAAGACCCTGGAGTCCATGCATATGACCCTATTCACCCTGGGGTACAAGCTGGAGGCTAAGAGCCGGGCTTTGGACATCGACAGGAGGTGCCAGGAGGTCCGTCAGAGTCTCCTGCCCCTGCGTGGAAGCACCGTGGTCACCGCCAACACTTCAGCACAGGAACCCCTGGCCCTGCTCTCTCCTCTCAGCTCCCCCAGCTCCTTTCGGAATTAGAATGTTGCCACCCGTCTCTCTGGGCATGGCTGAAGTCGCAGATGCAAGCTATATTATATGTGTGTCATGTGTGACACCAATAACAGAGTATATATTAAATATTTGTATTTGAAGTATTTTTTCTTGTTGTGTGATTTCAATTTCAAGTCAAGTGATTGATTTGGAGCCAAAACCTGCTTGCACAGGGGCCACTACAAGCCTAAAAACCCTTTGGAATGGGACTTATTTAGAGGACAATGATTGAGTGTTGTTTTGCGGTCACCCTGACACCTACTGCCTGTCCAGGGGGTGTCACCTCTTTAACCGGGTCAGATTTATTGTAGCAACGGCCCATGGTAACGCACAGAGTCCATGGCGACATGGGTCGCGCGTCTTGGATAGTGTGAAGGAATGCGACTGCTTGAGAGGTTCCTTTTGCTTAATATCGCGCGAAATTCTCTATTAATGGTAGATCAAAGAGAAACCTCTGTAGCCGACCACTGCTCTCTTTAAAGTAAATATGGGATGCGGCAGCTCCAGAATCACCGTGGTCGAGCCGGTGAGATCAAGCGAGTTGCACGGAGTAGCGGTAAGCTGCCTGCAGTTTCTAATTTTGATTCCTATTTAAAAACTGTAACACAATGTTATGAACTTTTGGAATGGAATTGCACACATCCGGCTGTGATGCGCGTCAGAGTGCTTTTCCTCACAATTGATTCCCCTATTTGATTTGCGGGGGGACTACCGGTAGCAGCCTACTACCAGTCTTTCTTTTTAGTCCAACTATTTGGCTACTTGATCTTTAAATAAATATGATACACTTTGTATTATTGTACCTGTCAAAACACCTAAAAAACTGTGCATTTGAGTTTGACGTTGTAATTCCTCCCAACAGGATGACACGGTGAGTAAACAGGGCTGTAGGGGAGACTCTGCAGTGTCAAAGTTCACCACAGACAGTGGAGTGGTCCTGGACACTGGAGAGGTCCCCACCTTACTGGGGGCTGCACCCAGGAAACTACCACCACTGGCAGGTAAGAGGTTGGGCTGTGTGTGTGGTGGGGTGAGATAGAGAGTGAAAGAGCGTGTGTATCTGTGCTCATCAGAGACCTCATATTTGTGTGTGTGTGTGTCCCACTCAGCCCACAGTCCTGGCCTGACCCAGGAGAGTGGTGAGAGACCCAGGTCCAGTGAGATCCTGGAACAGCTACTGAGCCAAGGCATCATCATCGCCCAGCCCAGGGAGAGGGCCAGTGGGGAGGCATACAACATCATGGTGGGTACCGGTCAGGTCTACTGGTGGGGCAGAGCAAAGTGTAGCTTCATGTAGCCTCAGACCTCTATGGTGGCGTCAGAATCAAACTCAGAATCAGGTGAGAGGAGGAGTTCCATAATCTCTTGTCATCATATGACTGGGGCCTGGTTGGATAGTCTCTAGATTAGTTTCCTGGTTATTTATAAAACTGCGGCCATCTTATGGAAGTGAGTGCATAACTGATTGACAATGTCAATATGCCAATGACAGTCACTCTGTATTAAAGAGATGATCCAGGCTCTGTCGTAGCCGGCTGCGACCGGGAGACCCATGGAGCGGCGCACAATTGGCCCAGCGTCGTCCAGGGTAGGGGAGGGAATGGCCGGCAGGGATGTAGCTCAGTTGGTAGAGCATGGCGTTTGCAAAGCCAGGGTTGTGGGTTCGATTCCCACGAGTTAATTACTCAGTAACTACAGTATATGAGTGTTTACCTTATATGTGTTGTTGGAATGTGTATTCACTCATGGTTTAATTGCTGTGTGTGTATGATCAGATTGATGACACAGAGAAACCCTCACGTGGGCCTCCCCCTCACCTGGAGTCTCTGAAGGGCAGGAGGGACCAGTCTGTCACCAGCAAAGAGGACATGGAGGAGAGGATGAGGCAGGCCGAGGAGGGACGCAAGGTGAGGAATATGATTATGAAATCATGAAAAATATGAATGTTAGGTGAGGGAAATAGGGGAAAACTGGGTTTAGGGGGTTAAACGGGGACCAACTTGAACTATATCTGCCTTGAATATGACCTGTGTATTTTCAATATGACCTGTGCATTTTGAATATGACCTGTGTATCTTGAATATGACCTGTGCATTTTGAATATGACCTGTGTATCTTGAATATGACCTGTGTATCTTGAATATGACCTGTGTATCTTGAATATGACCTGTGCATCTTGAATATGACCTGTGCATCTTGAATATGACCTGTGCATCTTGAATATGACCTGTGCATCTTGAATATGACCTGTGCATCTTGAATATGACCTGTGCATCTTGAATATGACCTGTGTATCTTGAATATTTATTTGTTTTCTCTCTCAGCTCAACGAGGAGGAGCTGAACTTGAGCCTGAGGACTAAGTCAGCTGGTGTCCGTGGCCCAGAAGCTGCATCGACAACTGGAGAGGGGGACGTAGTCACCCATGTGGAGGTCCTCCACGCCCCTGATGCCCCTGAGACCCCACCCAGCCCGAGAGGGATCCAGCAGGACCCACCCCAGACCCAAGGAGGAGGGGATGGAGGGAATGGAGGGGTCAGGGAGAGCAGGGGAGAGGGAGTCAGAAGTGGGCTCAGTGGGCAGCTTCTCTCAGCCTCTCTGGAGATGGAGAATGACTCCACATTTCAACAGACTGAGCAAGCTGAGGAGCTGTTCTAGCACCTGGCTGGAAGCACCTCATCTGTCTATTGGAGCCCAGTGTGTCTGAGAAGGGAAGGAGGGATGAAAGGAGGGGAGAGGATAGAGAGCGAGAGAGATGGTGCAAGAGGGAATTAGAGGAAGATCGAGTAGGTGAGGGAGAGAGAGATCAGTGATGTCTATTTGTGTTTTTGTATACCATAGAGCCGAGTGTATGTACATACATCTTCCAAGGCTTAGAAACAGACTGTATGTGGTATAAGGAAGGATCTCTATGAGGGTTTACTTTACGATGCAAAATCATACTGTATAAAGGTGGGCAATATTATTATTTGAAATTGAAATCATGGATATATTTATTTTCCATTAATTTAAAAAAGGTCAAGGGATTTTTTCCCCACTCTGTTTTGTGTGTTGCCATGGTGGACGTTGAGTTGAAAGCTGTTTTAGACACAAGATGGCGCTGTGGCCATGGAATTAAATTACACTCCACAGCACTGTTCATTATAGTTCACGTAGAGAGCGAGAGAGATTGCGACCTTGGTTTGACTGTGGTACAATTCAGCTTTTCCCAAATGACCCATCATGACCTTTTGAGTGGTATATGGTTGACAGGTGTGCTGTGTTTTTCAACTGGTGAAACACCTAGTCACATTCCCAAAATTACAAGGTCTTCTGATCACATGTCAGGTTAAGTATTACATTTACATTTTCTGACCATGACCATGCTCCCTTGTTTAATCAAGTGGGTAGCTCATCATGATAGTCAAGGATAGTGAATTTGAAGTGGAATGATGAATGGAATTTGTAATGGAATTCCACATTTTTATTTAGTTAGTTACATACACTCACATAGCATTCATTGCGTTATAGGATATCTCTATACTACAGTATCTATAGGCTATGTATTTAATTTTACAGGGCCTATTTAGCACACTCCCAATGTTAAAGCATATACGTTTATGCTATAGGCCTATACACATCATCACATAAGGGATTAAGGATAACCCATTGATGAGGATTTACTAGAGACCCTTTAGCTACGTTTTGTTAGCCAAAATGTAAGGGGATTCTGATTAGTCAGCATGCTGCACGCGAATGGAGACAACAAGAGGACGCAACTTGATAGCATCTCCATTGTGTGGCCGCTGAAACCCGAAACGGACCCATATGCGGCGGCTCTGCTACGGGCTGTAATTTAAAAGGCGTGTGGGCAAGCATGAATAAAATAGTATCTGATCCACCGAGACACAGCAAAGTCGCTCTATCAGGTTGCGACTGATAATAGTGACCAAGGAGAGGGCTATGGCATTTTTGGGACAGAAGAGTCCAGTGGCAATTCACGCTACTGCATCTGGTGGTGGAGGAGATGACAATTAGAACAAAATGACATCTAGCCAGTCAAATCAAATTTGGCAACTCATCATATTACAGTAGGCTACAAGCAACCAGGCACATACCAGTATTAGGGCCTATGTAGGCCGCGTGTCTCCATAGCTGACTTAGTTCATAAAGGTGGAACCATATGAAGGATTTAGACAAGAGTTCCGTATCAGATTTCTCAGTATAAAATTACAGACCAGTTGTCGTGGAAAACAGGAGGGAGAATCATAATTTTCCACATTCAATCATGAAAGACTGATTGAAAGACAAAGGTCCGCTCCATGATTTCCAACTGGGATAAAAGTGAACAGTCTTACAAAGTTTACAAAGTCATCATTGTTATTAGGCCTATCGTTCAGCTATTTTAGTTATTACAGGCCCTACAAGACCCACAAGTGGACATTCGTCTGACCTCAAGGCACTGCTCTACTAAAATATACAATTTAGCCTATTATTTGTATGATATATATAATCACACGCTTAAGTAGCCTATTTGAAAAATAATCTTAAAATATGATCTTGAATGGACGGATCATGCACAGTGCACAATTGCGTGCCCAATTGCCCCGACCGTGTCTTTACGCACGTCCCGATCTTCCCTTCAAGTCCACCTTAAAATGTTATCATAAATTCTTATCATCACCCGGCTGAACTCACTCCTAAACGCGTTTTAACACAGTTCAGTCATCAGTGGCCTCCTATGAGACATTAGGGGCCCAGAAAACTGTCCATTGCTGTCCCTACCCATTGTGCGTAATTCTCTTAGTAGCGTCCCATGTATGATAGTCCGAAATAAAACTAAACACGGTACTGCATTATTCTACAATGAAACTCAATCGGAGTGGCATCTTGAGGCCCAGAGATTACACCTGTCTGCATTGGTCATGCTGCACTGCTGCTGCCACTAAAACACATGCGTCACTGGGCTGTCTGTTTCCTCTCCGCGCGTAATGGGCCTGCCCGACCCGAACACCTGCTGGCAGGTATCCCTTGGGACAGGAAGAGAACCAAGAACTTCATTTTTTAAGTCATACCTTTATGGAGTGTAATGGGGTCTTGTGTGTGACACTGTGGGTTATTAAGTAGCCTAAACCTTGCCGTGAGCACCAGGCTATACAATTGGTGTAAGAACAGGTCATTTTAGGGTTATGAAAAACCGAATGAACATTACTTTCCTGGTGGTTTAACATGTGGTAGGTAATATGGTCTATTCTTCATCACCACTAACCAGGCATGGATCTTTCATTGTGCGCGCTTCCCAGCTGTTTGCTGGAGCGTGTAGCAATGCACGCATGTACCGCCCTCGTGCTTGGAACTGGGTGGAGTTATGGGCAGCGCTTTAAGGAATGGGTCCGAAACATATTTAGTTAGTCACGACAGTTACGAAGAAGAGTTGAAAACACCTTGATGATCTCTTGGACAATCCGCTCCATATCTCCTTTAAGTGTCGAAACAATCTACCTCGAATCTTGATTTTTGTCGAGTTTTATGTTATTTATCTGAAGCCTCTCCAGTTGTACATTTCGTACTGTTCGTTTTTATAGCAATACTAATAAATAACGTGACTTGGTGATAAGGAAACATTGCACTATATTTTTGATTGTTTCTGTCTATACTATTTTGCACTAAAATATTGGTGAAGATGCACACCACGCAGAAGGACACGACCTACACGAAGGTTTTTGTCGGGGGTCTTCCGTACCACACCACGGATTCCAGTCTCAGGAAATACTTTGAAGTGTTTGGAGAAATTGAAGAAGCAGTCGTGATTACCGACCGACAGACCGGCAAGTCCAGGGGGTATGGATTCGTAAGTATCAATATAGTATTTATTCTTCATAACACAAACAGGGACCTCACTTGCACTGTCTGTCAAAGGCCTGCATTATTTCAAATGGCAGCAAATCACGTCATCGTTAAAGTGGTTGTTGGTTAGGCGACTGTAGGCCTATTTCTTAATATGTGATGTCCATTTGAAGTTTTTCATAAGTAGGTCTGTGTTTTCAGCTCGAAGCGTTCTATCATTGAAAACAACTTGTTGCGCCCTGACATGTTCAGAAGATGAGTCTTGGGAAGATGATGTGCAGAACGTCATCATGTCAATTTCTATGAGCATTAATGATAGACGGATAGGCTACTATAAAACTGGTTTAGTGTCATGGTACCTCCCTCTTTGCAGCCATTTAGTTTGACATTTTAGTCATTTAGCAGACGCTCTTATCCAGAGCGACTTACAGTTAGTGCAAACTTTTTTTTTTCATACTGGTCCCCCGTGGGAAACGAACCCACAACCCTAGCGTTGCAAACGCCATTCACTACCAACTGAGCTACACCGGACTTTTACGCACATTTATGTGAAATATTAGCCTGTAGTATTTGATGAGTTGAAACGTTTTCCTTGGGTTTCTGGGTGAAGTTATTTAAAAAAAGACCCTACTACAGCACCAAAAGCTCTTACCTAGTCATTACTCTCAAATAGCATACTTATAGTCATCAGCTCATGTAACCGGTGTGAAATGGCTATCTAGTTAGCGGTGCGCGCTAGTAGTGGTTCAATTGGTGACGTCACTCGCTCTGAGACCTTGAAGTAGTTGTTTCCCTTGCTCTGCAAGGACAGCGGCTTTTGTGGAGCGGCGGGTAACGGTGCTTCGAGGGTGACTATTGTCGATGTGAGCAGAGAGTCCGTGGTTCAAGCCCAGGTAGGGGTGAGGAGAGGGACCAAAGCAAAACTGTTACACTCAGCAGCAGTTAAGTTCTTAAAGTAAACTTATCCTCAGAGAAAAACAATGTATGGTACTGACATCAAGAGGTTCAATTATTTTGAGTGAATGAGTATCTATGGCCAGAGATGGTGTTGTATCCAGTTTCTCCTCTGAAAAACAAGGAAAGAACTCATCAGGAGCTTAGAGCCAACCTAGAACTCATCAGGAGCTTAGAGCCAACCTAGAACTCATCAGGAGCTTAGAGCCAACCTAGAACTCATCAGGAGCTTAGAGCCAACCTAGAACTCATCAGGAGCTTAGAGCCAACCTAGAACTCATCAGGAGCTTAGAGCCAACCTAGAACCAAATATCTCAACTTACTATAAGTAGTGGTGGTTATCGATCTTTTCAAAATATTGACTGACAGTTGGGTCGTGTGTGATATCCATATTTTCTCTAATATTTGCCTCTTTAGCTAATGAATATGAACTTCGGCGAGTCTTTATCGTACATGTTTACCATCCCCCTCACACTTCTTCTTCACCACTTCTTCCCTGTGCTCTCTCCCTCTCTGTGTGTCCCTGCAGGTGACGATGGCAGATCGCTCGGCTGCAGACAGGGCCTGTAAAGATCCCAACCCCATCATTGATGGCAGGAAAGCCAACGTCAACCTGGCGTACCTGGGGGCCAAGCCACGGGTGATGCAGCCAGGTAAACACACACACACACACACACACACACACACACACACACACACACACACACACACAGATACCTATAGGTGAAGTATACTTAACTTAAGCAACAGTACCTGTTCTGTATGATAATGTTCTGAGAACATTGAGGCTGTTAGTTCTACAGAACATGCCCCAGGTCTCATCTTATTTTTATATCCATATTGTCCACATTTTTTCCTCGCAAATCATGCCTGGTACAGAATACTTTCATGATGATCCCAAAGCTTATTAATCATTCTGTCACATAAATATGGAAATTAATGTGTTCAATACATGATTCAGGATGTCCCGATGTGTCTAGAATGCACTGAACCTTTGCGTCCCAAATGGCACCCTATTCCCTATATAGTGCCCTACTATGGGCCCTGGTCAAAAGTAGTGCACTAAAAAGGCAATAGGGTGCCATTTGGGACTCAGACAATGACATTAATAAGAATATCAATTCATTTTGACCATTCCTCATCTCCATTCAGGTTTCACTTTTGGTGTTCCACAAATTCATCCTGCCTTTATCCAAAGGCCTTATGGGTAAGTACTGATGCGTCTTTGTGTTGAGGGGATGGTTGGGTGTTGATGAGTTTACAAATGACCTCATCATCAGTGAAAACCTATATGAAACCTCATAACCTCTAATGTTATTTATAATATATTAAAGCCAATGTCTCTCATTTGGCGAAAGTCTAGCATTGTTAGACATGTTCATACAATGACATGTTTATATAATTGTTTTGTGCTTTGTCCTATTTTTCTCCATACTTATATGATTACAGTGCATGATAATTATGTTGAGGAAAAAAAAAAACAGTTCCACAAATCCTCTTTCTTTTTATCACGGACTACAAAGTTGACCACCATATCAATTTAAGGTTTGTGTGAGTGAAAGAGAATGTGTGTGTTCATAGTATGAGTGTTTGTTTGTATGCGCATGTGTGTGTGTTATGTGTTGAGTACAACTGATGGAAAGTTACAGCCTCAATGACTCAATGTTATCTATCTCTCTCTGGTCCGACAGGCTCGATATGGGTTAACATAACTGGTGGTTTCAGGATTAGTTCTGTGGGCATGTCACAGATCAGACCAGGGAATTACCTGTAATCTCAAACACACACAAACAAGCTCAAATGGTGATTATAGATGCATGTACGTTGGTTTTACATTTTGGTTTTGAGTTTACATTTTTTATTTTGAATAGCAATTAGAGCTTTGTGTGCTTTTTTACTGTTATGAAGTGGTGTTGATAGCTAAACCATGTGCTTTCTATTTCATAACCAAACAAAGCTGTTTTGACGATATTTGGGGTGTTCTTTTCCGTTTTTGTGGAAGAGTGTTGACTTTGCCAGGGGGAGAAAAGTTTGTTTACATTTCTTTATTTGATTTGATGCTTTTGTGCTGTAGCTTGTGGTTTACCTTTTCTTTGGTAACAGGATGTTCTATATGTGTTGTTGGAGTGAGGGACGATTTTCTGTGTGCTTATTCTCTCTCTCTCTCTCTCTCTCTCTCTCTCTCTCTCTCTCTCTCTCTTTCACTCTCACTCTCACTCTCACTCTCACTCTCTCATTACATCCATCTCCTTCCATCTATCTACTTCATTCTTCTGGGCCGACTCTCAGGAGAGCTGCTGTTTATCATTCAGAGATGAGGATGTCTGTTCACACAGTGAAGAAGAGAAGAGTGAGAGAGAGGTCCATGACTAGACTGTAAATTGACAGTCGTCACCAACCTTATCCCTTACAGGACACTGGTGACAGATGAGGGAAAGTAATCCAAGGCTAGTAGTTTAGTTGAAGCAGAACACCTACTAACATGTGTGCTTCTGTTAGTGTGTATGGGTGTTTGTGTGTATACGTGTGTTTGTTTGTATTTGTCTGACCATACTATTGTGTGTGTGTGTGTGTGTGTCCTTTCTTGTGTAGTCCAGTCCAGTGGTAGAGCAGTGCACCAAGGTCTCTACTGTGACACAAACAAATGTCTGGATGCCACAGCCTCTGAACAAGCTTTCGTCACATGGGCCTGCAGCGTTAAGGAAAACAAGCTTCTCCATTGTGCCGCACAAAGGCTGGAGTGCTGACACTGCAGTCGCATGAAGCCTATACTGGTAGCGGGGCGTGGGGCTAAGCAGGGGGGCTGAGCAGGGGGGCTGGGGCTCTCTCCGTCATGTTGGGATGGGACGCTCTTTAAAAACAGCAGGCCCAACACATGGAGGCTGGAGGCCCCAGGGAGGTTTAAAGGGCCACAGACACATCCAGACAGTGCCACCTATGTGCCACCTATGCTTTCCAACACATGTAGGAGGCCCAATGCTGCAGACAAACGGTTTGTCCCAAATGGCACCCTATTCGCTGTATAGGCCATTACTTTTGACAAGGGCCTGATGAATGCACTATATAGGGAAAATGGTGCCATTGGGACACACCGATAGATGCTGTGGGAGGGTAGCAACCAGCTCCATGGCTATCACCACACTAGGTATGAGTCTCACCTATGATATGATCCCAACACATGCAGGAGGCTTGATAGATAGGTTTAAAGCAGAGGAGGCTAGTGGGAGGAGCTATATGAGGACAGGCTCATTGTAATGGCTGGAATGGAATTAATGGAACAGTATCAAACATATGGAAATCTAGTTTGACTCCGTTCCATTAGTTCCATTCCAGCCATTACAGTGAGCCCATCCTCCTATAGTTCCTCCCACCAGCCTCCTCTGATGGGTACTAGGTAGATAGGCCTACAGCATGTAGCAGTACGTACAGGTCTGGGATCAGGCTACTGTTTGAGGCTGTAGCAACCAGATCCATAGTTCTTATTAATTATCGCCCCTCTACGCTTCTCAAATTTAACTGTAGCATGACTGGTTGTTTCTCAGCTCCTAATGCAACAGAATCCCAATGGTTCTAATGTGTTGGAGAACAACAGGTGTGTACTCCTAAACTCCCTGCATCCCCTCCACTATCCCCCCTCTCTGGTCAAATATGTCACCCATCTGACATGTGATTGAAACAGATCTTTATTTAGCCTTGAACTTTACCGACCGCTGGTCAGAAGGACCACAACATTCCAGACACAGAAAGATAATATATTTACACAGAGCATTGAGACACACAGTAACCCTAGTATTTTTAACCTTGCTTGTATCTCTAGGGAAAAGAGGGCATTTAGATGGGAGTCAGAGGGTAGCCAGTGCTTCCCATGATTAACACCGTCACGGAAGTGAATCCAGGCAGATGAGTGGATTTGGTGTGTGTGTGTGTGTGTGTGTGTGTGTGTGTGTGTGTGTGTGTGTGTGTGTGTGTGTGTGTGTGTGTGTGTGTGTGTGTGTGTGTGTGTGTGTGTGTGTGTGTGTGTGTGTGTGTGTGTGTGTGTGTGTGTGTGCGTGTGTGCGTGTGTGCGTGTGTTTGTTAGGTGACACAGCATTTGCCAACATATAAGAGGTTTATGCTGTTGGAGATGGAGAAACAGGTTGTGGTAGTCTAATGTTGAATGAGATTAGGAAGGATTTTAGTTTTATTTTATTTCACCTTTATTTAACCAGGTAAGCCAGTTGAGAACAAGTTCTCATTTACAACTGCGACCTGGCCAAGATAAAGCAAAGCAGTGCGATAAAAACAACAACACAGAGTTACATATGGGGTAAAAAAAAAACATAAAGTCAAAAATACAACAGAAAATATATATACAGTGTGTGCAAATGGAGCAAGTTATGGAGGTAAGGCAATAAATAGGCTATAGTGCAAAATAATTACAATTAGTATTAACACTGGAATGCTAGATGTGCAAGAGATTATGTGCAAATAGAGATACTGGGGTGCAAAAGAGCAAAATAAATAACAATATAGGGATGAGGTAGTTGGGTGGGCTAATTTCAGATGGGCTGTGTACAGGTGCAGTGATCGGTAAGGTGCTCTGACAACTGATGCTTAAAGTTAGTGAGGGAGATAAGAGTCTCCAGCTTCAGAGATTTTTGCAATTCGTTCCAGTCATTGGCAGCAGAGAACTGGAAGGAATGGCGGCCAAAGGAGGTAGGATAGAGGGAGAGGGAGAAGGACAAGATAGGTGAATAAAGGTAGGGTGGGATATGAGCCCAGATGAGTTCTAGGGGTGGGAACATACCACAGTAAGTCATATGTAGGATGACAGGCAAGCAGAAAATAGCTGGGGCCCAGCCTCCAGCCTCTCCTGTCAATCACACATGAGGCCAGGCAACAAAGAGCATGTCTGAGACCAGATCCACATTACAGGAATGTCGTCATGACTACTTATGGAAACCATACTTGTGTAGGACTTATTGGTATTTTTCTATAATGTACTTTACATTGATGTATATTTATAGAAAAAATAACATAGGGATGAAACTCTCTTGGGCAGTGATTGCTTCAAACGGTCTAATGCAGGCTAACAATCATGGGCCGTTTTAACATCTCTGTCTTCTTCAAACGTTGTATGTGTCCCAAATGGCACCCAATTCCCTATATAGTGCACTACTGTTGACCAGAGCCCTATGGGCTGGTCAAAAGTAGTGCACTTTAAAGGGAATAGCATGCCATTTGGGATGCAGCATTTATTTCCAACAATAGCATGTTTCACCACCATTGAAACATACCAGTTGAATGCTGTCATTTAATTCTCTACATTTGCAAATATAGTGCTATTAAAGAGCACCTTTATTCTGTGTTGTAACTGCATAACATATTTCATGTGTGGTGTGAAAGAGCTTAATTTTGTGCCGGTTTTCCCCATACTGTAAGAAATAATAGTTTTTCCAAAAAGAGATGAAAACAGCATTTCAAAATACCTGTTTGATCCAACTTTTGACACCATGCTCGCGTCCCAAATGTTATCATATTACCTATATAGTGCACTACCTTGGACCCTATGGGGATGCATCCCGTGTTTTAATATAGCTAGTAATGGGGAGGCACAACAATGGCCAGCTTTGACATGTGTACATCATACAGAACTAAGAATGCCTACAAGGGACATTTCATTACAAGGTGTTTGTTGAGGAATTTCCCAAAAGTGTCTTAATGTGTTTTAATTCTGCTATCTGTGATTTATAGTGGGTAGGGCAGTCTAGACTTGTGAGTTGTTTTTCGGTGGACACTGCATTTTGTTGTTTCGTTGTGAAACCATCCTTTGCGTGCCTGTGTTTGTGTGTGTTTGAGAGAGTTTTTCTTTGTAGTGGCCCTTGTGTGTCGTGCTGTGTGTGTGTGTGTGTTGTGTTGTGTGCGTTTGTTGTGGTCTGTGTACATCCTGTGTGTGTGTGTGTGTGTTGTTGTTGCGTTTTGTTCTGTTGTGTATCGTTCAGCCTGTGAGTGTGTGTGTGTGTCTCCAGCCTGTGTTATGACTGTAACACTGTGCTGAGGCAGCAGCGTGCCAGCAGGCCAGGCCGAGGCATCTGCTAAGGACGTGATGTCATAGGAGCGGCTCTAACCTCTGACCCCTGAGTGATAGAGCTGCACTGGATATTTTATTTTCCTTTCTTTTTATTTGATCCTTTTGTTTCTTTTCTTTTTGTTTCTTTCAGTGAGTGGTTGTGTTTGTGCTGTGTTGGTGATCCATGTGGACCGAGTTTCATTTTTTGTCTTTGACGCCTGTGTTTGTAGAATTGCTGTTGTATTTTCCTGTTTCCTCTTTGGGGCCGGTGTTTTGAGATGTGATTGGTTGGATAGTGGAGTGCTGACAATAGGGTTGCCACGATAGATCTTGTCTTTCGTTTCTCCAATCCAGATTCCAAACTGTATGACTGTACAAAAGATTCCTCTCTCCATCTTGTTTCTTATTGGCTTAATTGATGTCAGTATTTATTTGGTCCAATCAAATGTTAGGTTGTTTCTCAAGAGATTTTAATTATCTGTTGACAACATCATCACATCATGCACATCATTCCAGACCATTACAAATCCACACCAGACCACAACTCATTGAAACTCAACACTGACAATTGATCAAATGGTGATAAGCCAATATAAAAGTTATGTCAATCATTATGTAAACACTGATTAGGTTACTCAGTCTTATCTTACTGAATCATAAACTTGACTCCAATTAACACCAGTTTAGTTTTTTGAGGAATGTCATTCATGATCCTGTGTAGCTCAGTTGGTAGAGCATGGCGCTTGCAATGCCAGGGTTGTGGGTTCAATTCCCACGGGGGACCAGTATAAAAAAATGTATGCACTCACTAACTGTAAGTCGCTCTGGATAAGAGCATCTGCTAAATGACCAACAAAAAAAAAAATGATTTCCCCATCCAGGTCAACAGCTTGGGTTTTCTCCCCCATCATCATGCTAGCAGATAGCGCTAGAGAGAGCGAGCCGAGCCTCACGGCCGGGATATGTCATGAATGTGCTCATTGTTCCTGATTGCTTATTTAATGAAAATGTCCCCCTGAGTGCAGCTAGCCAAGCACCCGGCCCGGGGCTCTTTGTCTAAGCACAGAGGGGGAAACAGCCAGCAGTGTCCTTTTTGAAAACTGTCCAGCTGTCAAAGTGGCAGTGACATTTTCACAATGCCCCCCTCATCTCATCTCCTCTCCTCTCCCCCTCTCTCCCTCCCAGCGGTGCTTGTGAGCCTCCCTCCCCTCCTCTGTTCCCTCTCTCAACTAGGAATGGCAGCAGGGCCAAATCCACATGTGACCAAGCACACACAAACCAGGTTCTCTCCTCTCTCCATCTCTGGATTGTCTCTCAAAGACTGCATCAATGGGTCACTGAAAACCCAAAATGTCTTCCTATCCCTTATCAGAGGACTAAACACCTCTGAGCTTTGAACACCTCTCACCAACCCATTTTTTTGTCCCACAGAGAGATCTCTATTTTGGCAACCCTATATCTCTAATAGCTACTAGCAAGCATCTCCGTGGTGTTATTGACTGGTGATTGATGTGTTGGGGGGCGCTTGGCTGCAGTGTGGTTGGGTTGGCTGTGGTTGGTTCTGCTGTCAAGCTGGGGGTTTGCTGTCTGTCAGTGGCTGTGTAAGGCCAGGTCTGTGATCTCTACCTCTAACTCCCTGTCTGTTTCTGTCCTGCAGGATCCCTGCTCATTATGTGTACCCTCAGGCCTTCATGCAGCCAAGCACCATGGTCATCCCTCACGGCATGCAGCCCAGTGCCGCCTCCACCGCCTCCTCACCGTACATCGACTACACCGGAGCCGCCTACGCACAATATTCCGCCGCAGCTAGCGCTGCCGCCGCAGCCTACGAGCAGTATCCCTACGCTGCCTCCCCTGCGGCGGCCGGGTACGTAACTGCGGCCGGTTACGGCTACGTTCAGCAGCCCCTGGCTACGGCCGCACCGGGGTCAGCCGTCGCTGCAGCCGCAGCTTTTGGTCAGTATCAGCCTCAGCAGCTGCAAGCTGACCGCATGCAATAGCAGCCACTGCAGCCATTGGACACGAGGGGATGGGAGGCCCATGGCTGATTGGCTGTGCTGAGGAAAGGAGGAGGAAGAGGAAGAAAGAGGGGCCGTGTCATTAAGTGATGGAATCGTTAAGATGATGATGATGATGATGATGATGGTGGTGGTGATGATCGTGAGGTGGGAACTCCATACAGTAGCTTTCCAACTTGCTGTGCTTAAACCAAAATAAATAAATACGAGAAAACGTTACCAATTCACAGAACTAAGTAAGGTGGATTTATCCTTATGATTATTATTGTTGTTATTAATATAATTATTACTATTATTATAATTGTAGTAGAGTATTTATTTATAGAGGAGAAATGCAACAACTAAGCTTGGTGTAAAACATGACCTTATGTTCCATTGCTGTCATTAACATAGAAGAGAGAGAGAGCGTTCTCTTTACGGGACACTTAGGCGTGTCCCAAAGTGTTTTGTGTTCTGAAGCCCTTATAACATATATTTATTATCACATTTCGAGGGCTCTTGTCGTTCTGTCTTTTCAAGTGCATTGAAGTAAATTTTCTGATAATCAGGGAAATGGACCAGTTTCCAGTGTGTTAGTAAAGACAACTCTGCGTGTCAGGGAATAGCTGAAATAACTGTGGAGAAAAGGTCAAAAATAGTCTTGGCTCGTGTCACGTGTTAAGAACTACCTTTAATCTTCCTGATGCTGAATGTCCCTTTTTTGACTCTGTATCTTGACCTCTTGACCTATGCAAAGCAAACAGTTCACCAGGAGACAAAAAAACTGCAGGAATAACCAAAAATGCCATCTACTCATCAACTCTTCAAAGGACATCACAAACAATATGAAGGCAACTCCGGAAGAAAGAAAGAAAGAGAAAGAAAGAAAGAAGGGTTTTCAGACAATGAGAAGCACCAAATCAGTTACTCTCAAACACATACGCACACACACACATAGTTGTGTACATAGTGGTAAAGGACAAAGGGCCCAGTCGTGTTCCCCTCTGGCTCTGTGCAATGGGATCTAGTCAGAGTGAAAGAGAGAGAGGGGAGCGGGTGGGGAGGGGCGTGGGACAGTTAGCCCAGCGCCACACAGACAGATCACTCTGGAAAGAACGCATCACTTGTGCTTATTTGTTGAGCTGTCACATTTTAATCCCTGAGCCCATTTGGGAACTGGCTACTCTGGCTTGCCTGCCTGTCTGTCTGCCTGGCCCTGTCAGCATTTCCACCTCTGTCCTCTGTCCTAGAGCTGGCCAACTGGGCTGGTGTCAGGTACACACACTGTCCTCCTACCCTAACTCTAACCAACCCCCCTGGGCCTGGTCCTGTACCCATTCCTCACAGCCTCACCAACTCCTCCTCTACCCAGACTACACACCCCAACTCCTGGGCTCCTGTCTGTGAGTCTGGAAAGTGGTGGCGATGGAGGATGTAGAAAGGGGGTGGCGTGGCTGCAGGCGCTTGTCATCAATCTGGGGGTTCTTCGTGTGCCTTACATTTGTGTTGTTATTTAAAAGAGTAAGAAAAGAGATCTACTATTTAAGATATTTATTTTCAGAGTTGACTATGTTCTATGCGCTCTAAGGACAAAGACTTAGTTGCGGTACTGTATTAATATTATTATGTATTCATCTCAAGGCATATAGTTATATTATTATGAACATACTCTACCAAAAATGTTGATGTAGGATTTATTTAAGATACAATTCTGTATGTGCACTGTACAATTATACTTTCTGCCTTTTGAAATCTTAGAACATGACATTAAATATTGGCTAGATGAATGCCTTTTTGTATGAAACTTTATTTAAATGCAGGCCTATTTGCATGCAGACTGTTACTCTGCCTCTTGTGTTTAGAACCATTGGAAAAGACTAAAACAATCCTGACAAAAATTAGCAAAATGCTGCTTTATACGTTATAATGTATAGTCATTGTCATGGTTTGAATAGCTGTGCTTTTATTGCTTTTAATATACATCAGATGGGCTATTTTACACTTTTGGGAATTTTTATACTTGAACTATTTCTTACAAGGGAAAATATGACAAATAAATGACAAAAAAAAAAAACTTTTTAAAGAAGCTTTTCATTGTCACTGGATTAAGTCATGTAAAGGGTTATTTACTATTTAAATGGGCAGCAGGTAGCTTAGTGGTTAAGAGCGTTGTGCCAGTAACCAAAAGGTTGCTGATTCTAATCCCCGAGCCGACTAGGTGAAAAATCTGTCGATGTGCCCTTGAGCAAGGCACTTAACCCTAATTGCTCCTGTAAGTCGCTCTGGATAAGAACGTCTGCTAAATGACTAAAATGCAAAGGTCCTGTTGGTATTAAAACCTTATTTCAGAATTTCAACACTATTTACTCTAAATTGAAATAAAAGGTTCTATATTTAAACAGAATACTGTGAATATTGTCCTTTTTTATATAAGATGGATATACAATGTTGAGTTGATGTTGAATTGTGTTGTTTTCAGGTTGGGTGACTTTTTTGGGGCCTTATTGTGGAGGTCTGAGACAGGCCTCCTGTAGCTCAGTTGGTAGAGCATGCACCAGTATGAAAAATGCCAGGGTTGTGGGTTTGATTCCCACGGGGGGCCAGTATGAAAAATGTACGCACTTGCTAACTGTTAGTCGCTCTGCATAAGAGCGTCTGCTAAATGACTAAAATGTAATTGATAGTCTCCAGAGCAAATTAGGTATGAAAGGTGAAGGTGCTAAAGTTGTTGATGTTCAGTAGGGTCTATGGATACACACATGTCCCAGATGTTTACCCTACGACATGGAGAATGGCTGAGTCACCTCTTCACTAGTCAAAAGCTTCTCTCTCAAACACACATGGTTCTGCATCTCAAATGGCACCCTATTCCCTTTATAGTGCACTACTTTTCACCAGGACCCTTGGTCGAAAGTATTGCACTAAATAGGGAATACTGTGGGTGCCATTTGGGATGCGACCGTGGTTATTTCTGGCTCCAGAACTCCCACAGTTCTTGTGTTGTGTTATGTAAGGACTTTTCCATCTAAGTGTATTAAACACCTATAAACAGACTCACTGTCTATTTGTGCAAATATCCTCGATTCCCAAACCCTCGAAGCAGTTAATTTGGTTGCAGAGCTCCGAGACACCATCCTGTATCGGAGCTCTACGGACAATTCCTTTGACCTCATGGCTTGGTTTTTGCTCTGACATGCATTGTCAACTGTGGGACCTTATATAGACAGGATGGTCCAATCAATTGAATTTACCACAGGTGGACTCAAATCAAGTTGTAGAAACATCTCAAGGATGATCAATGGAAACAGGATGCACCTGAGCTCAATTTTGAGTCTCATAGCAAAGGGTCTGAATACTTATGTAAATGTGATGTTTCAGTTGTTTATTTTTAATACATTTGCAAACATTTCTATAAACCTGTTTTTGCTTTGTCATTATGGGGTATTGTGTGTAGATTGATGAGGGAAAAAACTATTTAATCAATTTTAGAATAAGGCTGTAACATAACAAAATGTGGAAAAAGGGAAGGGGTCTGAATACCTTTCGAATGCACTGCTCTTTCATTTACATTTACATTTTTAGTCATTTAGCAGACGCTCTTATCCAGAGCGACTTACAGTTAGTGAGTGCATACATTTTTTCATACTGGCCCCCCGTGGGAATCAAACCCACAACCCTGGCGTTGCAAACGCCATGCTCTACCAACTGAGCTACACGGGGCCAACACCTTGTAGTGTCCATGCCCCGACGAATTGAGACTGTTCTGAGGGCAAAAGGAGGTGCACCTCAATATTAGGAAGGTATTCCTAATGTTTTGTACACTTATTGTATAGGGAGTAGAAAATAACATGGCTATATACAGGGAGTACCAGTACCAAGGCGATGTGCAGGGGTATGAGGTAATTAAGGTAGCTATGTACTGTACATACAGGTAAGGGTAAATTGACTAGCAGCAGCGTATGTGGTGTATGAAAGTGTGAGTATGTGTGTGGCGTCAGTATGCATATTATAAAAAGGGTCAATGCAGGTAGTCCGGGTAGCCATTTGATGAGCTATTTAGCTCTTGTTTATAAGTCTTATGGCTTGGGGGTAGAAGCTGTTCAGGGTCCTGTTGGTTCCAGACTTGGTGCATTGTTACCGCTTGCCGTGCGGTAGCAGAGAGAACGGTCCGTGGCTTGGGTGGATGGAGTCTTTGACAATTTTTTTAGGCCTTCTTCTGACACCGCCTGGTATAGAGGTTCTGGATGGCAGGGAGCTTGGGCCCCAGTGATGTACTGGGTCGTACGCACTACCCTCTGTAGCGCCTTGCGGTCGGATGCCAAGCAGTTACCACACCAAGCGGTGATGCAGCCAGTCAAGATGCTCTCGATGGTGCAGCTGTATAACATTTTGAGGATCTGAGGGCCCATGCCCTCTTCATCACTGTGTTGGTGTGTTTGGACCATGATAGATCCTTAGTGATGTGGACACGAGGAACTTGAAGCTCTCAACCCACTCCACTACAGCCCTGTCGATGTGAATGGGAGCATTCTCGGCCCTCCGTCTCCTGTAGTCCATGATCAGCTCCTTTGTCTTATTGACAAGACAGAGGTCCTGAGTTCGCGCCAGGTATGGGCCGAATCGGGAGGAAGTGGTACATGCTAAGCAAGCAGCGTGACATCCTTTACATGTGCGTGCGTGCAAATTACCACAGAGCAGCCAGAAGCCCTATGGGATTACACACAAAATGTCTGCTGGCTGTATGCTGGCGACCGTGCTCCTGCCCTTCATTTTGTAACACTGTCACCCAAGGCCCCTCCACCATTTTAGCCAGACATTTGATGACGTGGGACAAGCATTCACTTCACACTCAAACAAACACGTCTGGCAGCAGAGAGTTAGGGAATGGAGTCCTCTGGGGAAGCCTATCAATGTTTCAGAGGCTCTAATCAATAAAATATCCCTACCCTCTCCTCTCTAACCTGGCACGGAGGCAGCATGGTACCCTATTCTGGTCAAAAGTAGTGCACTGCATAGGGCACAGGGTGCCATTTGAGACACAGAATGGTCTATTTCAGCCTACAGTGTAACCAGACGCTGGTCAGCCAGGTCCAGGCAGCTGCCATGACACAGCAGAGATAGAGGCCTTTCGCGTGACATCACTACCGCTTCCATGGCATCTGACGTCCACCATGATGGAATTCAGAGGCAGGTTGTGAATTGGGATATGACAGACAGAGAGTAGAAGGTGCGTTAACATAATCAGGGTCACGGTGAATGGCCCTGTTGAAACTTGATCCCAGTTTTATTTGAGTTGACATGAGCTAGCTATAACCAGTGATTATATCAGCACAGAATCATCCCCACCCCTGGGCCCAGACGTTAGTTCAACATCTAGTTTTGATTTACATTTGGTTGTTGTCAACTATTGTGAATTCAAGGTGAAATCAACAAATAAAATCACCATTTAGGTTCAAGGTTAAGTGAGAAAAAAAACTAAATCCCCTCATGTTGATGACTTTTTGCAAATCCAATGAGTTTTCCAAGTTGATTCAACTTCATCACATTAATTTTTGGGGTTAAAATGACGTGGAAACAACATTGATTCCATCCGTTTTTTTGCCCAGTGGGCAACCTTATGATCTTGGAGGCAATGATGATGATAATGTTAATATAATTTACAATTTTAGAATTTGAATGTCCACCCAGCACTATCCTTTGAGTCATGGGCAAGACCATTGACAGCCTACACAACATTAGACGTCAATCAGACGTTCCATACTTAGTCTAGGTGTCTGGGGCTCCCAACACTGCTTCTCAAGACCAGGCAGGGGGGCAGAGTAAGACTGGAGACACCGACTGGTACTTTGCCAGTGGTCCACTCACTCCACTGCGTTATCAGGTTCACCAATGTTGCTTAATTTGGAAGTCCCGGAAGCTCAGGGTTATCTGCGCGATTGACTGACAGGGAGCCTGGGTGCAGCGCCAGACGTAGACGAATCTCGCCCGGGATATTACAAAAGCGAAATAAAACACTACGCCAGGATTTGATAGGGAACTAAAATTGAAGGTAAATCTGTTACTTTGTTGGTTAGTTTGTTTTCAACCGATTGTTATGTTTTTGACGAGATGGGAATGGGAGGGAGAGCGACAGAGAGGTGGGGACCGAGGCGGCAGGTTTGTAGATGGCTCGCCTCATAGAAACGCGTGTGGTTTTACTATTCGCTGTGTTGGCACGAGAAAAGAAGACACGGATAGCCACAAAGGTCTGAACAATCGCCCTTTCCATATTCTTTGTGTGCGGTTTGTGTGTCTTGTCTTTGTTTGTATGGCTAGTTAAACCATTGCGTATTTGCGGTGTTTCAGTTTATTCTAGAAAACGGGTATCGCGTCAAATAGGCTACAGTTACTGCTAGACCATACGAATTTGAGTATTTTGTATGTCGGTGTTATTGGTGTATGTGATGACAACGGTATAGCCTATACAATGCAGCATGCCAATAACGCAGGATGAAAGTGTAAAGGATGACATGTCGACATTGTTTTATTATAATTATAGTGTCGTGTGTGGCGCGGAGTCGGACCGACCTGTCACCTCAAACGCATCAGTAATAGTGTTTTTTTAGTAGGCCTATATGATGCTATTGTCATACCTCTCATACCTTGTTATCTATGTGAGGACACATGAACACAACATACTATAGTTGTCGCACAGAATCAGTGCACCTGTGTCACACCAACCTTGAATGAACCTTTTGGGAACATTATGAATGTTAAGAGTTTAATATTGATATTTTAGAAATGTTATTTAAATGATTATTAACGTTTTCAATTCTCACATGTTAGCCTGCTGATTATTTTCATATTGGTATAGATAGATTATTACTCTCAAATGTACAATTCATATGCCCCATAAGTATAAGAGTTTCCAGATCTCTCTCTCGCTCTCTTGACAAAACTCGAGTTTCAGATTTAGATGTTTTCCAAGAAGGGCCATCGTCATGTCTAAGAATTAGATGGTCCTTAACCCAAAGACATTTCAGGCCTATCAAGCACCAATCATAGAACCTTCAGATTTAGAATAAATGACACTATATCACCACCACTAACTTGTAGCAGGAGCCCAATATAGCCCTGAGATCAGATACCCAGGGCATAGAGTTATGAGACCCTATGGTGATCTTGGAGTATAATGGCATTCTCATTTCAGTAGAATAATAACACATCACCGATGTCTGCTTTCACAGCTGTTATAGGTATACAGTAAATCCCTCCCCTTGGGTCAGACAATTGTTAGGTGCTTTGTTTACTACGAAACAATATTCCTTATGGTGCCGCCAGTATATGAACCCTCTAAACCCGCTAACCTCAGGGTTCAACCTGGTCTCAGAGCATTTCATATTATTCTGTAAGTAAATCCGAGACACTCCATTTACATTTACATATTAGTCATTTAGCAGACGCTCTTATCCAGAGCGACTTACATGAGCAATTAGGGTTAAGTGCCTTGCTCAAGGGCACATCGACAGATTTTTCACCTAGTCGGCTCGGGGATTAGAACCAGCGACCTTTCGGTTACTGGCACAACACTCTTAACCACTAAGCTACCTGCCGCCCCGGTATGTATTGTATGGTATGTATTAATTTGTGGATGAATTACAATTCATATTATATGTTACGAATTTACTAAACATACACTATGTTACAAATGTACTAACTGTACAATATGTTACGATTTTGAAAAATGTACAATACGAATTTGCAAAAGTAGCTAATTAGCTAAATTTTAAAAAGTTGTCCATGATGAGATTCAAACTCGCAACCTTTGGGTCGCCCACCCATTCACCCCGACCAATAACCCTACTTTCGTTTTTTCCTTAAGTAATTATCTGTTTATGTAACCATACCAAACGTAACATATCATACTAATTTAAGTGTCCCAGATTTACATTTACTATGTTACGTCTAGTCTATGAGACCAAGCTGGGTTTCAAATCCTGTGCTGGCTCTTTCCCCCCAATCACTTTATACAAATAACTTACTGTAACACTGTATAGCTGGGGTCCAACAGTGAAAGAGCTAAAATGGCATTCGCCATGAGACTTTGGCCAACTCACAATGGTGAAGAGATGCCATATTCTAGCTGTTGCATTCAGACAGTTTTCAATGTTAATGTTTTCAACATATCTTCCGGGGGAAACAAATTATGAATAGGGCTGGGGCAAATACAGTGGCAGACTGTACTCTGTTCTATAGCATGTTGCAAGGCTTGTGAAATGTCTTTATTTACAACTACAGACATCTTGATATTTTGGAATAAAGATAGTTCAATTGTGGCTCATACACTCTATGATCAGATATTCAATGTTATTTATGCCAGTGAGCAGAACTCTATCCACTGATCTAAGATCAGTTTTCCCTGCCACTTATACCTTATCTCAACCATTGGAGCACAAGCACAAAACTGACTCTGGACCAGTACTTAGACAACGCTCCCACCTATCAGTCATTACTATACACACAGTCCAAAGATATATGATTTTAAGGAATCACCCTGATCAAGTTACATTGCCATCACATATTGGGTTATTTGTATTTTATTTGTACTTTTTTAAATGTTTTTATTTATTGGCCGTTTTCAGAGGACAAAAGTAACTTTATTTAACATTTTTGTTTTTGTTACATATACAGTACCAGTCAAAATTTTGAACACGCCTACTCATTCAAGGGTTTTTCTTTATTTTTACTATTTTCTACATTGTAGAATATAAGTGAAGACATCAAAACTATGAAATAACACATATGGAATCATGTAGTAACCAAAAAAGTGTTAAACAAGGAAAATATATTTAATATTTGAGATTCTTCAAATAGCCACCCTTTGCCTTGATGACAGCTTTGCACACTCTTGGCATTGTCTCAACCAGCTTCATGAGGTAGTCACCTGGAATGCATTTCAATTAACAGGTGTGCCTTCATAAAAGTTAATTTGTGGAATTTCTTTCCTTCTTAATGCGTTTGAGCCAATCAGTTGTGTTGTGACAAGGTAGGGGGGTATACAGAAAATAGCCCTATTTGGTAAAAGACCAAGTCCATATTATGGCAAGAACAGCTCAAATAAGCAAAGAGAAACGACAGTCCATCATTACATAAGGGCTATTTTACCAAGAAGGAGAGTGATGGAGTGCTGCATCAGATGACCTGGCCTCCACAATCCCCCGACCTCAACCCAATTGAGATGGTTTGGGATGAGTTGGATGGCAGAGTGAAGGAAAAGCAGCCAACAAGTGCTCAGCATATGTGGGAACTCCTTCAAGACTGTTGGAAAAGCATTCCAGGTGAAGCTGGTTGAGAGAATGGCAATAGTGTGCAAAGCTGTCATCAAGGCAAAGGGTGGCTACTTTGAAGAATCTCAAATATGAAATATGCGTCTGGACCCTGGTGTGGGAGGCCCCGACCCCGGAGAGGGGCTGACGTCTGGGCCTGGACCGGCAATCCCCCTGCAATGCACCAAGCCCTGTCTGGACCCTGGTGTGGGAGGCCCCGACCCTGGAGAGGGGTTGACATCTGGTTCTGGAGTGGAGCCGCTGACCGGAGCTGAACTGGACCCCGGTGGAGCGGACTGCTCTGGCTCTGGACTGCAGCAGCTGACCGGGGCTGGACTAGGCACCGGTAGAGCGGACTGCTCTGGCACTGGAGTGGAGCCGCTGACCGGAGCTGAACTGGACCCCGGTGGAGCGGACTGCTCTGGCTCTGGACTGGAGCAGCTGACCAGAGCTGAACTGGACCCCGGTGGAGCGGACTGCTCTGGCACTGGAGTGGAGCAGCTGACCGGAGCTGGACTTGGCACCGGTGGAGCGGACTGCTCTGGCACTGGAGTGGAGCAGCTGACCGGAGCTGGACTGGACACCGGTGGAGCGGACTGCTCTGGCACTGGAGTGGAGCAGCTGACCGGAGCTGGACTGGGCACCAGTGTAGAGCAGTTGACCGGAGCTGGACTAGGCACCGGTGGAGCGCCAGCCCTCTTAAAGGGAGCTCTCCTGCTCTATCTTCGCGATCAGCCCCCGTAAGGTGGTTGCCTCTGTAACCGGTGTGAACTAGTGGCATTTCAATCGGTGACGTCACTCGCTCTGAGACCTTGAAGTAGTTGTTTCCCTTGCTCTGGTGACTGTTGTCGATGTGTGCAGAGGGTCCCTGGTTCGAGCCCAGGTAGGGGCGAGGAGAGGGACGGAAGCAACACTGTTACACCTCTTCTATCAGAGTGCTAATCTGCAGGTCTCTCCGAGCCTCCTGCTGCTTAGCCAACCACCCCGTGTGCCCCCCCAAAAAAATGTATTGGGGTTGGAAGCGGTCGGCACCGTTGATCCTCTCCTGCCTGGGCTTCTACCTTCGCCCAGGGTCCTTTACCAGCCCAGGGTCCTTCTCCTCCCAAGACTACGTCTTCCCCACCTGTGTCCAGGGTGTTTGTTCCTCCTGGGCACGCTGCTTGGTCCGTTGTTGGTGGGATCTTCTGTCACGTTCGTTGAGTACAGGATTGGACCAAGGTGCAGCGTGGTATGCTTACATGTTCGTTTATTGAATAAACACTGAACAAAACAACAAAAGCAACGTAACGTGACGTTCTAAAGGCTAACATCAAACAAGCCAAACACACAGAAACAAGATCCCACAACATAGGTAGGCAACATGGCTGCCTAAGTATGATCCCCAATCAGAGACAACGATCGACAGCTGCCTCTGATTGGGAACCACACCCGGCCAACATAGATCTACAATATCTAGATCTACACATAGAAATTCACACCCTGACCAAACCAACTAAAGAAAACCGGGCTCTCAAGGCCAGGGCATGACAATATTTCATTGTTGGACATAAATTACTGTAAAAAAAAAAAAAAACACCAGGAAATCAGCTCCAAGTGATTTTAATTTAAGAAATCTGTTCCCAAATATTCCCACGCATTGAGAGACACGACGTGATCATATACAAATGTAAGCAATGTTTGAAATTATTGTTTTAGTCAAACAATATATCTGTTTGGGCTTCTTGCGATCAATTTGCAGTCTACAAATTATTTGTAATTATGTTCCGGAACCCCGACCATCCGCTCAAGAAAAAATCGGCCCGCGGCTGACTGTAGTTGATGATCCCTGACCTATGGTATGGTGTACATGATGTGATATGATTGATGTGTAGCAGAAATTGTGGCAAAGGACCAGATGGCTAGAGGTCCAGAAAAACTCTGCGTTCCAAATGGTACCCTATTCCCTTTATAGTGCACTACTTTTCACCAGGACCCTACTAATCCTATCATGTTTTGGGTTATAAGTGTCAGCCGTGTCATAAGTGTCCTATGGCATTTCAAATGTCCCTGTGACCCTACAAATTAGCCAACCCCTATAAATCTAGACACAAAACAAAAGTAAGGGGTTGTATTGCATTTCTCTTGAAATCAGAAGAGAGACATCATGGTGAACATGACCAGCCCTGGGTGCAGCCCCAGTGATGGATATCAGTCCACTGACTTTCTCTGCTTCCTTCCAGGACCGTCACCATGGAAACGCTAGTGCAGCGGCTGGAGCAGGCCGTGATTCGTCTGGAGCAGGTGTCCGTCAACATGCAGGTGTCCAATGGCATGGCCAATGGGGAATGTAATGGGATCAACGGAGGTGAGTAGTAGAAACGTAGTGGTCCAGACTGTGACAGCAGTGTATAGCATTGGGTAGTGAAGTTCTAGGTTGAAATGGGAACACTACTTAATCCAATGAACGTTTATAAACATGTACAACTATGAAAAGATACTGTGGTAGAAAAACGCCTGACCTCTCCTCTATGCTCATTGTTTTCTCCTTCTTCCTCCCTCCTTCCTCCCTTCTTCCTTCCTTCTTCCTCCCTCCTTCCTCCCTCCTTCCTCCCTCCTTCCTCCCTTCTTCCTCCCTTCTTCCTCCCTTCTTCCTTCCTCCCTCCTTCTTTCCTTCTTCCTCCATCCTTCTTCCTTCCTTCTTCCTTCCTTCTTCCTTCCTTCCTTCCTTCCTTCCTTCCTTCCTCCTTCCTTCCTTCCCTTCCTTCCTTCCTTCCTTCCTTCCTTCCTTCCTTCCTTCCTTCCTTCCTTCCTTCCTTCCTTCCTTCCTTCCTTCCTTCTTCCTCTCTCCTTCCTCCCTTCTTCCTCCCTTCTTCCTCCCTCCTTTCTCCCTCCTTCCTCCCTCCTTCCTCCCTTCTTCCTCTCTCCTTCCTCCTCCTTCCTCCCTTCTTCCTCTCTCCTCCCTCCCTCCTTCCTCCCTTCTTCCTCCCTTCTTCCTCCTGTCTCTCCAGGTCAGTCCCAGTGTATGGAGGCCTTTGACCTGCTGCTGATGGGGCCGTTGTCAGAGTACCTGAAGAATAGCCGTGCCATAGGAGAGGATGTGGAGAAGCATGTGAGTGGCAGGAATGTGTGTGTGTGATTATGCGTATGACTGACTATCCTTGTGTGTTTTGAGTGGCGTCTTGCAAAGGCCGCAAATGGGAAATGGCTCTGTGCCATTAAGAGCACAAAGTCTCCTCCTCAATCCCCAAATCCCTCAAACGTTCTCACTTACAGACACATATACATACACACACACACACACACGCACACAAAACAGTTTGCTTGGTTAACACACTGCCGTTATATTTGGTCTTTGTCTTTGTCTTTAACTGTTAGTCTACACTAAGTGAAACGAAGCAGTCCCCTTAACTGACAGAAACTCTAAGTGATGTTTGTAACAGAGCAGCAGCTGAGAACACAGAAAAAGATAATACGGATGATGAAAATAAGACGGTTGCCTACTCTGTTCTGCTATACTACTCTGTTCTGCTATACTACTCTGTTCTGCTATACTACTCTGTTCTGCTATACTACTCTGTTCTGCTATACTACTCTGTTCTGCTATACTACTCTGTTCTGCTATACTACTCTGTTCTGCTATACTACTCTGTTCTGCTATACTACTCTGTTCTGCTATACTACTCTGTTTCTGCTATACTACTCTGTTCTGCTATACTACTCTGTTCTGCTTACTACTCTGTTCTGCTATACTACTCTGTTCTGCTATACTACTCTGGTTTCTGCTATACTACTCTGTTCTGCTATACTACTCTGGTCTGTTCTGCTATACTACTCTGTTCTGCTATACTACTCTGTTCTGCTATACTACTCTGTTCTGCTATACTACTCTGTTCTGCTATACTACTCTGTTCTGCTATACTACTCTGTCTGCTATACTACTCCTGTTCTGCTATTTCGTTCTGCTATACTACTCTGTTCTGCTATATATCTTCTCTACTACTCTGTTCTGCTATACTACTCTGGTCTGCTATACTACTCTGTGTCTGCTATACTAACTCTGTTCTGCTATACTAACTCTGTTCTGCTATACTACTCTGTTCTGCTATACTACTCTGTTCTGCTATACTACTCTGTTCTGCTATACTACTCTGTTCTGCTATACACCGTCCTATACTGTTCTGCTATACTACTCTGTCTGCTATACTACTCTGTCTGCTATACTACTCTGGTTCTGCTATACCTCTGTTACTCTATACTCTCTGTTCCTACTTTGCTATACTACTCTGTTCTGCTATACTACTCTGTTCTGCTATACTACTCTGGTCTGCTATACTACTCTGTTCTGCTATACTACTCTGTTCTGCTATACTACTCTGTTCTGCTATACTACTCTGTTCTGCTATACTACTCTGTTCTGCTATACTACTCTGTTCTGCTATATACTACTTCTGTTCTGCTATACTACTCTGGTCTGCTTACTACTCTGTCTGCTATACTACTCTGTTCTGCTATACTACTCTGGTCTGCTATACTACTCTGTCTGCTTACACTTGTCTGTTCTGCTATACTACTCTGTTCTGCTATAACTACTCTGTTTGCATACTACTCTGTTCTGCTATACTACTCTGGTCTGCTATACTACTCTAGTTCTGCATACTACTCTGTTCTGCTATACTACTCTGTTCTGCTATACTACTCTGGTCTGCTATACTACTCTGTTCTGTCTCTACTACTCTGTTCTGCTATACTACTCTGGTCTGTTTCTGCTATACTACTTGTCTGTCTGCTATACTACTCTGTTCTGCTATACTACTCTGGTATGTTCTGCTATACTACTCTGTTCTGCTATACTACTCTGTTCTGCTATACTACTCTGTTCTGCTATACTACTCTGTTCTGCCATACTACTCTGTTCTGCTATACTACTTTGGTCTGCTATACTACTCTGTTCTGCTATACTACTCTGGTCTGCTATACTACTCTGTTCTGCTATACTACTCTGGTCTGCTATACTACTCTGTTCTGCTATACTACTCTGTTCTGCTATACTACTCTGTTCTGCTATACTACTCTGGTCTGTTCTGCTATACTAATCTGTTCTGCTATACTACTCTGTTCTGCTATACTACTCTGTTCTGCTATACTACTCTGTTCTGCTATACTACTCTGGTCTGTTCTGCTATACTACTCGGGTTCTGCTTACTACTCTGGTCTGTTCTGCTATACTACTCTGTTCTGCTATACTACTCTGGTCTGCTATACTACTCTGGTCTGCTATACTACTCTGTTCTGCTATACTACTCTGTTCTGCTATACTACTCTGTTCTGCTATACTACTCTGTTCTGCTATACTACTCTGTTCTGCTATACTACTCTGTTCTGCTATACTACTCTGTTCTGCTATACTACTCTGTCTGCTATACTACTCTGGTCTGCTATACTACTCTGGTCTGTATACTACTCTGTTCTGCTATACTACTCTGTTCTGCTATACTACTCTGTTCTGCTATACTACTCTGTTATTCCAGGCTGCTATACTACTTCCATGGAGAGAAACTTGGTGTGTAACTTGATTTAATGATACTGTATGTGCAACTGTTGTCACCCAGACAAATCCCAACCACATTTAAGATGTATCTTTAACACAGTGAGGTTCTCTCTACCAGTGACAGTAGGGCTGGAGGGATGTTGAGAGGAGCACTTAGTGACCACTTCATTCCCCTGTCTGCTTTCTGTCAATGGGACTAGTTTTATATGGAGATATGCATCCCAAATGGCACCCTGTAAGGAATAGGGTGCCATTTGGGACAGAGACATGGAAGATTCCCCTTGTTTTATCTCTCATAGAGCTGCCTGGCTCTGGGAACATTGTAGTCTGACTGTGTGGGGTCCAGGGCTTGGACAGGGAAAACCACTCTAGATAGATGGGAGGAGGAGGAGTTATTTTAATTACAGTTTGTTTCCTGTCCCCTACAAAGCCAATGGCGGGAGTGTGCTTGAACTTTAACCCTGAGTTCCAATATTAAACCGCGACACAAGCACCTTTTTCCACCCCAATGTCAGGCCGTTTTCCACAGGGAGATGGGGCGTAGTTTGTGGCTAGTAATCATGTTGGTAACAACTTTGATGATTTCTCTTCCGACTCCCAAAATAGAGCCGACATTTGATTCATACCAGGCACTGGCAGGAAGTCCAATTGCAAAAATCCCTTTCTCAAGGAAGACATGGTTTCAAATGGGAATTAAATAAGTGAGGACTTTAATATGTGGAAAAGCAGAATGACAGAGAAATAGCCTTAATATGTGGTGAAGATGGGACTGGGGGATGGGGGGGAGGATATTCCTTCATGGGTCTTTTCCCTCATAAGACAACATTCACTTAATCTCCTTCTCCCATCACAGTGAAAGGAGGAGGGGGTGTGTGTGGGTTAGAGGTGGTTTATTTAGTTAGGAAAGCTCCTTTTATGGCAACACCGGAGTTCCTCTGGAGGTCTTTTCCCAAATTTGGGACATGCCTCGTGGGACCTGACTAATGCAGAGTTACCAGCACGATGCAGTGCAGAATGCGTTAGAGAGGGAAATGTGTCTTATAATGCCCTCAGATTTGACATTTTAACCTTTTCCCTCTGTGATTGACAGGCGGAGATGGTGAACAACGCTCTGCAGCTTCAGAGAAGCTTCCTCAAAATGGCCACCACACACCAGGAGCCTGCTCAGGTAAGGATGATATGTGTAATGGCTTGGAGGACTGTCCTGAATGCAGATACCCAAAGCAAGTAAAACAAATGTGTATGGATCAGGACTATTGGCCAACTGCACTGCACTTCAACACAGTTATCCATTATGCACTTATCTACTGTTATCTACTATAATGTAGCCAGTGTCGCCCATTTCAGTGTTGCAGTATCGCCCATTTCAGTATCGCCCATTTCAGTATCGCCCATTTCAGTATCACCCATTACAGTATCACCCATTACAGCGTTTCAGCAGCAGCCTTTTCCAGGCCTCTCTGTGTTTCCCAGTGCTGCTGGGCCAGTGGGCAGCCATGCGGCGCCCCGGAGCTCTGTTCACATAGGGATTAACCCCCTTTAAAAAAGAACGCTAATACAACACATTCTCAACGCATTCACGTATGGGGAAGGGAGGGGGAAAGGGAGGGGGTACGGAGAGGAAGTGGGGGTTAATGTGATATCATCGTGTTGGCTGTTAGTTTGTATTGAACCAGGGGGAGGAGGGTGGTGGGCAGAGCCCAAAGCTGAACAGGAAGTGATTAACTCCTATCTCGCAAGTCATTGGTCAAGAGGCAGTGAGAGAGAATTCACCAATTGTCTGATACACAAACAAGGAGGAAGGGTTTAAGCGGAGGGAGGGGAGAGAGAGGAAGGGAATAAGAGATAGGAGAGGAAGGGAGAGGGAGGACAGGCGAGGACGGGTGGTGGGCGGTGGCTGCATTGACTGTTTGCTCAATTGGTAGAGCATGGCGCTTGCAACGCCAGGGTTGTGGGTTCGTTTCCCACGGGGGGCCAGTATGAAAATATATGCACTCACTAACTGTAAGTCGCTCTGGATAAGAGCGTCTGCTAAATGACTAAAATGTAAATGTAAAGACCCCATGTAGTCTTTTAAATGTTTCAATCAGTGTCTAATAAATCACTGTGTGATTATTTAATTTAAAAAAGCAAAATATATTTTTTGTCATTTATTTCCCTGAGCCTCCTTTGCCATTGGAATGCTCAGTTGGATCGTGTGGGTGTGTTGATACAAATTTATTTGAACAGTGAGAGACAGAATAACAACAAAAAAATCCAGAAAAACGCATGTCAAAAATGTTATAAATTGATTTGCATTTTAATACGGGAAATAAGTATTTGACCCCCTCTCAATCAGAAAGATTTCTGGCTCCCAGGTGTCTTTTATACAGGTAACGAGCTGAGATTAGGAGCACACTCTTAAAGGGAGTGCTCCCAATCTCAGCTTGTTACCTGTATAGAAGACACCTGTCCACAGAAGCAATCAATCAATCAGATTCCAAACTCTCCACCATGGCCAAGACCAAAGAGCTCTCCAAGGATGTCAGGGACAAGATTGTAGACCTACACAAGGCTGGAATGGGCTACAATACCATCGCCAAGCAGCTTGGTGAGAAGGTGACAACAGTTGGTGCGATTATTCGCAAATGGAAGAAACACAAAATAACTGTCAATCTCCCTCGGCCTGGGGCTCCCTCGGCCTGAGGAATCAGCCCAGAACTACACGGGAGGATCTTGTCAATGATCTCAAGGCAGCTGGGACCATAATCACCAAGAAAACAATTGGTAACACACTACGCTGTGAAGGACTGAAATCCTGCAGCGCCCGCAAGGTCCCCCTGCTCAAGAAAGCACATATACAGGCCCATCTGAAGTTTGCCAATGAACATCTGAATGATTCAGAGGAGAACTGGGTGAAAGTGTTGTGGTCAGATGAGACCAAAATCGAGCTCTTTGGCATCAACTCAACTCGCCGTGTTTGGAGGAGGAGGAATGCTGCCTATGACCCCAGGAACACCATCCCCACCGTCAATCATGGAGGTGGAAACATTATGCTTTGGGGGTGTTTTTCTGCTAAGGGGACAGGACAACTTCACCGCATCAAAGGGACGATGGACGGGGCCATGTACCATCAAATCTTGGGTGAGAACCTCCTTCCCTCAGCCAGGGCATTGAAAATGGGTCGTGGATGGGTATTCCAGCATGACAATGACCCAAAACACACGGCCAAGGCAACAAAGGAGTGGCTCAAGAAGAAGCACATTAAGGTCCTGGAGTGGCCTAGCCAGTCTCCAGACCTTAATCCCATAGACAATCTGTGGAGGGAGCTGAAGGTTCGAGTTGCCAAACGTCAGCCTCGAAACCTTAATGACTTGGAGAATATCTGCAAAGAGGAGTGGAACAAAATCCCTCCTGATATGTGTGCAAACCTGGTGGCCAACTACAAGAAACGTCTGACCTCTGTGATTGCCAACAAGGGTTTTGCCACCAAGTACTAAGTCATGTTTTGCAGAGGGGTCAAATACTTATTTCCCTCATTAAAATACAAATCAATTTATAACATTTTTGACATGCGTTTTTCTGGATTTGTTGTTGTTATTCTGTCTCTCACTGTTCAAATAAACCTACCATTAAAATTATAGACTGATCATGTCTTTGTCAGTGGGCAAACGTACAAAATCAGCAGGGGATCAAATACTTTTTTCCCTCACTGTACATACACAGCCCTGATTGGCGGATAGCGTCGTTTATACTCTAGAGCCTACCCCGCTTACCCCTTCAAAGTAGGAGGATATATATGCAAATAAAATATGATTCGTCAGAATAATCAGATCGTGATGTCACGCTGTGGGCCAAAAACTCCATCCCACCTTAACAGGCAGAAAATCCTAATTTGTATTGTATTTTATTTTTTTAACCTCTTACACTAAAAGGGAGTTATCATAATTTTCACAATTTCAGAGTGTTATTTCGACCTCATAGTGTGGAAATCTAATTTTTAAAAACTGGAAAATCAATGTGGATGTGAACTAGTGAGGAGGTCAAGAGTTTCAAGTCCTGTATCTTTACTTCAGACTGTAGAGAGCCTGTAACCTGTTAAGAGTCTGTAGAGAGCCTGTTTAGAGCCTGTAGGTTATTTTTTATACTGGCCCCCTGTGCGAACCCTGCTGGCCTATCCCTCCCCTACCAATTGTGCGCCGCCCCATGGGTCTCCCAGTCGCGGCCGGCTACGACAGAGCCTGGATTCGAACCAGGATCACTAGTGGCACAGCTAGCACTGCCTTAGACCACTGCACTACTGCGCCACTCGGTGACTGAAATGTAGAGAGCCTGTAGTGCAGCGTTTCCCAAACTCGGTCCTGGGGATCCCAAGGGGTGCACATTTTGTTTTTTGCCCTAACACTACACAGCTGATTTAAATAATCAAAGCTTGATGATTATTTGAATCAGCTGTGTAGTGATAGGGCAAAAACCAAAACGGTTCCCCAGGACTGAGATTGGGAAACCCTTGTCGCTGTTCTCTGTGAGAATTTGGGTGACGATCCACAATGCCATTGTCAGAACTGACAATCCTCAAATTGGACAGGCATTGGAGAGGCATTGATTTAGCCAAAAATAACCAAAAATAGTTAGTTGTCAATCAATACACCCCCAGAGAAACACCTACTGTAGTACCACACAGATACTGGATGGACACATTTTCACATGTACATAGTTTTATATAAACCTCAATCACTGCCTCTGGTAGAAAAGTGATTGTGACCCTGTACAGCTCTCCCATAGGGAACCCAGAGCTGCCGGTAAACCTCTGGCTTTTCTCTCCACCGCACTGGCCCGGGGTTGTGCTTTGTGGCTTTTTATGGGCATGTTCTATATTTGAGCTGCTCCGTTTGTGTGTGTGTGTTTGAAGCTGGGCTCACCTGACCCCGTCATGGCCCATCACTCTCTGTGTGTGTGCCCACAGAAAAAAGACTACAGTTTACGATAGAATACTATAGCACTTACTATAGAATTCTATAGTATTCTGTAGTAAACTGCTGTATACTGTAGAAAAATATACTACACTCTAGTATCCCTCGATCATTTCTAGTACTTACTATAGAATTTTGTAGAAAACTATACTGCACAATGTAGTATCCCTTGATCATGTGTTGTGCTTACTATATAATTTTGTAGTATACTGTAGAATACTATATGTATATTAAATACTACAGTATTAACCCACAAAAAACACTGTAGTAAATACTACAATAATGTCTGCAAAAACACTACAGTAATTATTATAGTACATACTACAGTTCTTACTATAGTAATACTACAGTATTTAATTTGCATATACTCCACCCATTCCCCTCCACCATATCCCTATTTGTGCCACCCATGAGTGAGAAACCTACATGCCAAGTATAGACCATATATTGTGTTCCCTACATGTTATAGAAAAGAGCAGAGGCTCTAAACTATCCGTTCAGACTCCAGTCCTACCTACAGGTTATGAAACATTTGATCTTAGTATTTGCCCAGTAGGTTTCCTCAAGCAGGAAGCCCCCACGTCTATGTCAAAGATAATAAAACAAAAAATACTATAGTAAATACTACAGTATTTATACTACAGTCATGTCCACAAAAAGACTACAGTAAATACTATAGTATCCTTCCGCAAAAACACTACAGTAAATACTATAGTAAAGTCTGCAAAAACACTACAGTGAATACTATAGTATATAAATATAGTAATACTATAGTATTTACATCATAGTATACTATAGTATTTTTTCATATGGGTGTGTATCCCACAGTACAGCTGTCTTGCCTCACCAGCCCTCTGCTCTGCTGTGAGGCTTTACACTGTAAAATCCCACCATCGTTTTTTCCTTTGTTACTTTCCACTGGGAACTTTGATATCATGTTTGCATTATAGCTCAGAGCCTGGCCAGTCAGTGAATGTCAGCATATGGGATGCCAAGTCATGGTAGCAGATATAGTACGCTTATACACTACAGATCAAATAGCTTGATCCTACACTTTAGGTAGCCTGGCAGGTAGGATCGTTGGGCCAGTAACCAAAAGGTTGCTGGATCGAATCCCCGAGCAGACAAGGTAAAAATCTGTTGTTCCGCCCCTGAGCAAGGCAGTTAACCCACTGTTCCCCGGGCGCCGATGACGTGGCTGTCGATTAAGGCAGACCCTGCACCTCTCTGATTCAGAGGGGTTGGGTTAAATGCGGAAGACACATTTCAGTTGAATGCATTCAGTTGTACAACTGAATAGGTATCCCCCTTTACCTTTCCCTTAAATCATTAGAATCATAGGTAAATCATTAGAATCATAGATAAATCATTAGAATCATAGGTAAATCATTAGAATCATAGATAAATCATTAGAATCATAGATAAATCATTAGAATCATAGGTAAATCATTAGAAATCATAGGGTAAATCAATTAAATCATAGATAAATCATTAAATCATAGTAAATCAGTAGAATCATAGGTAAATCATTAGGGCTTTAGGTAAGATATCTACCCCCTTTCCATTTGATCCTTCTACTTACTCTTCTCTCTGTTTCTGTCTAGCTCCCTTTCTGCTCTTTCTCTCTCCCTCCCCCCATCAAAAATATGAACGCTTAGCTCAGAGATATTAGACCTGTCTCATGCTACTGAGCTAACATCACACACACCCCAATATCACTGTGTGCAATTTCTCTCTCTCTCTCTCTCTCTCTCATCTCTCTCTTCATCGAAAAAAAATCTCTCTCTCTCTCTCTCTCTCTCTCTCCTCTGTCTCTGTGTGTGTGGTCTCTCTCCTCTCTCTCTCTCTCTCTCTCTCTCTCTCTCTCTCTCTCTCTCTCTGTCTCTCTGTCTCTCTGTCTCTGTCTCTGTCTCTCTGTCTCTCTGTCTCTCTGTCTCTCTGTCTCTCTGTCTGTGTGTCTGTGTGTCTGTGTGTCTGTGTGTCTGTGTGTGTGAATGGTGTGTAATCCTGGCCTCTGCCCCACTCATAGCCTGGAGATATCACAACTATTTATGTCTGTCCGTTGGAAGTGGAGGATGATTGAGGGGGGGGGAGGGCCATCAGATACCCTTGATACAGTAACTGAAAGAGCGGGGAGGGGGGTCAGGGGAGAGGGGGGTGATGAGAGAGACAGGAGAGAGATCTCTAGCCTCAGAGATATGTAGATCTGACAGATGAATCATCACTAGGGCCAGGAGGTTTTCCTGACCACATGATTTGACCCGGATCTGTTGACCCCCTGGTTCTATCATCATCACAGGTGTATTGGAAAACTTCCTGAGCCTTATCATCATCACATTTCATGTAGAAGTGGTTTTCTTTTAAGGATCCTTTAGCAAGTTTTTTCGATGGGATCTGTAGATAGTGAAACTAAAAAGTCAGTCTACGTTGATCCTCCCTATGATGACGTTGGTCCTCTATTTCGGGTTATGAAAATCATGTGCATCTGATTTGGGCAATAATTTGTTCAAAAAATAGTTCTCTCTTTCTGCCTCTCCCTCTGACACACGAGATAGACAGTCCTTTCATAGGGAGGGCCAATGTCAACAGACTTTTTACTTTCACTCTCTCCAGATCCCTTCGAAAAGTCTTGCTAAAGGATGTGGTGGAAAGGAGGATTATTTCATCCTCTCCACGTCTGTAAACGTTATTATGTGTTTATTGTGACAACATATCAAAACCTTAATGCAATTAAATTGGTTGCCTTAGCAACACAAGAATAATCACATTTCTCAAAATAAAGCTAAATAAACTAACTTTATCTTTCCCACAGCATATCGCCACGGCGGGGATATTTAGTTAAATTGTCATAGCAACATCAATTTAGACACAGTTCAAAATAAGAGAAGTGTACTGCAGCATTACTAGGGAAACAATGCCTTCCTTTTCCCTTACAAGGCCAGAGGAATCTCCCAATGAACAGAGGAATGCTTTGAGGGGAGGGAGGATCGAAGGAAAGAAGGAAGGAAGGATGGAAGCTAGAAGGGATCTGGAAGTTCCTATTGAAAATAGGGTCCTTCTAATAAAATCCCAGTAGCCCAGTTTTAAACTCACAGTAATTTACATCTGCATGCCCCTTATCTAGCTGACATGCATGGCAGAGTTGCTTGTGGGCAAGGCAATCAGTTATAACAGAGGTAGCATAACTGGAGTAACTGAACAATTGAGACTGGTGCTCTCAGACTATTGAATATGAGGGCTGCTAAGAGCACTATTACAGAGGAATTTATGGGTGCTGATTTTACTTAACAGTCATTGATAAATGCTATTTTTATATTTTAAGTTACAGTATATATAAAAGACACCACCTGTGATATTGTTCAGTTTTTGTTGACAAGCATTTCTTCTTTCCATCTCTCTCTCTTCTCTCCCACCTCCCCCTCTCATTTCCTCTCTCTCCCCCCTCTCTCTCTTTCCTTCCTTCTCTCCCCCCCTCCCCCTTGTATCTCTCTCTCTGTCTCTCTCTCCCTCCCAGATGGAGCTGTCTGACCTGCTGAAGCCTATCTCAGAGAAGATCCAGGAGATTCAGAACTTCCGGGAGCGTAACCGTGGCAGCAGCCAATTCAACCACCTATCAGCTGTCAGCGAGAGCATCCCGGCGCTGGGCTGGGTTGCTGTGGTGAGGAGAAAACTAACTGTTCTCTTCTCTAACCTCCTCATCACCCACTCACTTTGGTGGCTCGACACTTTGCTCGACACTAGCCAAAGCTACGACACTTTGCTCGACACTAGCCAAAGCTACGTTTGGCCTATCCTTTGTATATCTACAGTTGAAGTCGGAAGTTTACATACACCTTAGCCAAATACATTTCAACTCAGTTTTTCACAATTCCTGACATTTAATCCTAGTAAAGATTCCCTGTCTTAGGTCAGTTAGGATCACCACTTTATTTTAAGAATGTGAAATGTCAGAATAATAGTAGACAGAATTATTGATTTCAGCTTTTATTTCTTTTATCACATTCCCAGTGGGTCAGAAGTTTACATACACTCAATTAGTATTTGGCTTTGTGATGGCCACTCCAGTACCTTGACTTTGTTGTCCTTAAGCCATTTTGCCACAACTTTGGAAGAATGCTTGGGGTCATTGTCCATTTGGAAGACCCATTTGCGACCAAGCTTTAACTTCCTGACTGATGTCTTGAGATGTTGCTTCAATATATCAACATAATTTTCTTTCCTCATGATGCCATCTGGTCCTCTGTAGCTCAGCTGGTAGAGCACGGCGCTTGTAACGCCAAGGTAGTGGGTTCGATCCCCGGGACCACCCATACACAAAAAAATGTATGCACGCATGACTGTAAGTCGCTTTGGATAAAAGCGTCTGCTAAATGGCATATTATTTATTATTATTATCTATTTTTGAAGTGCACTAGTCCCTCCTGCAGCAAAGCATCCCCACAGCATGATGATGCCACCCCTGTGCTTCACGGTTGGGATGGTGTTCTCCGACTTGCAAGCCACCCCCTTTTTCCTCCAAACATAACAATGGTCATTATGGCCAAACAGTTCTATTTTTATTTCATCAGACCAGAGGAAATTTCTCCAAAAAGTACAATCTTTGTCCCCATATGCAGTTGAAAACCGTAGTCTGGCTTTTTTTATGGCAGTTTTGAAGCAGTGGCTCCTTCCTTGCTGAGCGGCCTTTCAGATTATGTCGATATGGGACTCGTTTTACTGTGGATATAGATACTTTTGTACCTGTTTCCTCCAGCATCTTCACAAGGTCCTTTGCTGTTGTTCTGGGATTGATTTGCACTTTTCGCACCAAAGTACGTTCATCTCTACGAGACAGAACGCATCTCCTTCCTGAGCGGTATGACGGCTGCGTGGTCCAATGGTGTTTATACTTGCGTACTATTGTTTGTACAGATGAACGTGGTACCTTCAGGCATTGGGAAATTGCTCCCAAGGATGAACCAGACTTGAGGAGGTCTACAATTTGTTTTTCTGAGGCCTTGGCTGATTTCTTTTGATTTTCCGATGATGTCAAGCAAAGAGGCACTGAGTTTGAAGGTAGGCCTTGAAATACATCCACAGGTACACCTCCAATTGACTCAAATGATGTCAATTAGCCTATCAGAAGCTTCTAAAGCCATGCCATCATTTTCTGGAATTTTCCAAGCTGTTTAAAGGCACAGTTAACTTCTTGTATGTAAACTTCTGACCCACTGGAATTGTGATAAAGTGAATTATAAGTGAAATAATCTGTCTGTAAACAATTGTCGGAAAAATTACTTGTGTCATGCACAAAGTAGATGTCCTAACTGACTTGCCAAAACTATAGTTTGTTAACAACAAATTTGTGGAGTGGTTGAAAAACGAGTTTTAATGACTCCAACCTAAGTGTATGTAAACTTCCGACTTCAACTGTATGTCTATATCTATATATCTATATCTATATATCTATCTGTCTTTGCTCTTGGCTACTGTGGTTTAATGCATTTCTGTCCAACAGATGGTGACTGACGTAATAATGTTCTCTCCATTTCTCTAGCCATGTGTCAGTGAATGCAGAGCAGAGCTGTCTGAATTGATACGTGGCGTCAACTTTGTTTGACCACCTTTTCTCTTTCGTTCTATTTTTTCCTTCGGTCTCCTTCTTTCTTCCAGAGCCAGAAGCCAGTTCCCTATGTGAAGGAGATGAATGATGCTGCCATTTTCTACACTAACAGAGTTCTGAAAGACTATAAAGACTCGTGAGTATTGCTGCTGGTGGATTACTTATCAACTGTTGCTGATAAGCTACTTTGCATATTATTGTTGCTCAGTGAATACCTCTCTCTTTTTTCCTGATCCGTCTTTCCATCTTTGTTTCTCTCTCCCTCTGTCCGTCTTTGTTTACATTTCACTAATTCTCCTCCTCCTCTCCTCCTGTCCCTCTCTCTGTAGAGACAAGCGTCATGTGGAGTGGGTGAGGTCCTACCTATCCATCTGGACTGAGCTTCAGGCCTTCATTAAACAGCATCACACAACAGGCCTGGTCTGGAGCAAGACTGTGAGTAGCTTTCATAACATAGTTACAAAACAGTGTAATAGCAGTGTTATTATATTATCATAGTATTGAGTTGGGAGTGAGACAATAGAAAAACATCACAGTGATATAAAGACATATCATGAACAGTTACTGTCTTTTTATTACAGACTGTAATTTACAGCGCTTCAGGACTACAGTCCTCTATCTAACATCCAGTGAGGCATTCCCTCTACATTCCATTATCTATATGTTACAGCAGCAAATAGCTCCTGGTCCAACCTCCTCAACACTGCCCTGAGCACTCAGCACTTTGACTTGTTGGAGGAATAGGAACAGGGCCAGGAGTTTTTCCCAACAGTGTAACCTGAGCAGGAAAAACTCAGGTCCCACTGCCTAACTTCTCATAACTTTTATCTGACGTTGGATAAATAGGACCAGGATTATTTTATTTTTTAAAGTCACGGCTTTTTTCATGATCAGGTCCTATGGATGAACTAATTATAACCCTGCTTGCCATTCAGGTTTAAACAGGCAGGAACAAGACTCAATGAATTACAGCTCGCCTCGAGACATAGTCTCTGACTATTATGGCATGTCCAATTGTTTTCATGTGCGGCAGAGCCTCAATGTGGTTTTCCGTTGCCATATTGCTGAAGCGGTTCAGGGCTGCGTTCCAAATGGAACCCTATTACAACATGGAGCCCGTAGGGCACTGGTCAAAGGTAGTGCACTATATAATATGGTGTCATTTGGGATGTACTGTAGTTCTCATGTTAATTACCCCGCAGTGTATATTTCTATGTGTAGTTATGCAGACAGGCAGCTGGTTGCGCAAGGACCAGCCTGTATGAATGACTTGGTCCCTGGTGTACTGGTGGCTGCTTTGTGGTTCTTAATTTAGCAATTGTAGAGTCAAACCCCCACATTTTTGTAGGGGTTGATACCAGTGGAGGCTGGTGGGAGGAGCTATAGGAGGACGGGCTCATTGTAATGGCTGGAATGGAATAAAATAAACAATGAGCCCGTCCTCCTATAGCTCCTCCCACCAGCCTCCACTGGTTGATACATTTTTTGTTAGGGCGAATCAAGTCAGAAATTTCCTGCAACAACAGGGTGATCAAATTAAGATCCTACATCGGTACTCTCCGCTTTCCGTTTTCTTCCTGTACTACTCTGTCGTTTCTCTTCCCCCTCTCTGAAAAGAAAGTCCTACTATAGGGCAGGTTTCCAATCAGAAATCATATGCCTGCGTCCAGTGGAAGTGATGTGTTTATTTGTTTAGCTTTTTATGTGATAATAAAACTAAAAGTAAAACTCCTTAAACTTCACATTTAGTCTCTAAACTTTTAAAGAGTGTTGAACTCAGGTCAAGGTGTCACGCCCTGGCTCTGGGGACTCTCGTATGTTGAGCCAGGGTGTTAGGTTCTAGTTTTGTGTTTCTATGTTGGCCAGGGTGGCTCCCAATCAGAGACGGCTGTTGCTCGTTGTCTCTGTTTGGGAGCCATACTTAGGTAGCTGTAAGGCATTCGTTTGGTGTGGTTTCTTGTTCCTTTTGATTTGTGTTTGTATAGAAGGACTTCACGTTTCGTTTGTTGTTTTGTTCGCTGTGGTGTACAATAAAACAAATATGTACGCATCTCACGCTGCGCCTTGGCCCACTTCTTTTCAAGACGATCGTGAATGAAGAAACCACCACGACTGGGTCAAGCAGCGTGATGAGGAGAAAGGTTGGAATTACGAGAAGTGGAGAGAGAATTGGACGAGAACCATGGAGGCCTGGTCCACGGGGGAGAGACAAGCCCAGAAATTTTTAGGGGGGGGCTCACGCCGTGGACGACGGGGCAGCAGGAGTACGGGATAGAGTGGTTCAGAGGGTTGGCAGAGGAGGCCGCCAGGTTACGGGAGTTACTGGACACCAGGGGGAAGGAGTATGTAGAGGCACGGCGAGAGGTACTAGGGTGTGTTGCCAGTCCGGTCCGGCCCGTTCCTGATCCCCGCTTAGGGCCAGTGGCGTGTGTTCCCAGTACGGTTCGGCCTGTTCCTGCCTCTCGCACCGAGCCTGTGGTGCGCGTCGCCAGCCCGGTCCGGCCTGTTCCTGTCCCTCGCGCCAAGCCTGTGGTGCGCGTCGCCAGCCCGGTTCGGCCTGTTCCTGCTCCCCGCACCAAGGCTATGGTGCGCTTCGTCAGCCCGGTCCGGCCTGTTCCTGCTCCCCGCCCCAAGCAAGTGGTGCGCTTCATCGGCCCGGTTCGGCCCGTCCCTGCTCCCCGCACCAAGCCAATGGTGCGCGTCGTCAGCCCGGTCCGGCCTGTTCCTGCGCCCCGCACCAAGCAAGTGGTGCGCTTCATCAGCCCGGTTCGGCCCGTCCCTGCTCCCCGCACCAAGCCAATGGTGCGCTTCGTCAACCCGGTTCGGCCCGTCCCTGCTCCCCGCACCAAGTCAATGGTGTGCGTCGTCAGCCCGGTCCGGCCTGTTCCTGCTCCCCGCACCAAGCAAGTGGTGCGCTTCATCGGCCCGGTTCGGCCCGTCCCTGCTCCCCGCACCAAGCCAATGGTGCGCGTCGTCAGCCCGGTCCGGCCCGTCCCTGCTCCCCGCACCAAGCCTGTGGTGCGCGTCGTCAGTCCGGCACAGCCCGTGCCTGTTCCACTGGTGCCTGGTCCGGCACCGGTCAGCTGCTCCACTCCGGAGCTAGAGCATTCCGCTCCACCAGTGTTCAGTCCAGCTCCGGCCAGCAGGGCCAGACCGGATCAGGGGCGCTTTGGGGGGTTAGAGAGGGAGTGGGAGTCATGCCCGGAGCCGGATCCACCGCCGAGGCGGAGTGCCCACCCGGTCCCTCCCCTGTTGTGTTTGGTTGGCGCTGCCGGAGTCCGCGCCTTTGGGGGGGGGTACTGTCACGCCCTGGCTCTGGGGACTCTTGTATGTTGAGCCAGGGTGTTAGGTTCTAGTTTTGTGTTTCTATGTTGGCCAGGGTGGCTCCCAATCAGAGACGGCTGTTGCTCGTTGTCTCTGTTTGGGAGCCATACTTAGGTAGCTGTAAGGCATTCGTTTGGTGTGGTTTCTTGTTCCTTTTGATTTGTGTTTGTATAGAAGGACTTCACGTTTCGTTTGTTGTTTTGTTCGCTGTGGTGTACAATAAAATAAATATGTACGCATCTCACGCTGCGCCTTGGCCCACTTCTTTTCAAGACGATCGTGAATGAAGAAACCACCACGACTGGTTCAAGCAGCGTGATGAGGAGAAAGGTTGGAATTACGAGAAGTGGAGAGAGAATTGGACGAGAACCATGGAGGCCTGGTCCACGGGGGAGAGACAAGCCCAGAAAATTTTTAGGGGGGGGCTCACGCCGTGGACGACGGGGCAGCAGGAGTACGGGATAGAGTGGTTCAGAGGGTTGGCAGAGGAGGCCGCCAGGTTACGGGAGTTACTGGACACCAGGGGGAAGGAGTATGTAGAGGCACGGCGAGAGGTACTAGGGTGTGTTGCCAGTCCGGTCCGGCCCGTTCCTGATCCCCGCTTAGGGCCAGTGGCGTGTGTTCCCAGTACGGTTCGGCCTGTTCCTGCCTCTCGCACCGAGCCTGTGGTGCGCGTCGCCAGCCCGGTCCGGCCTGTTCCTGTCCCTCGCGCCAAGCCTGTGGTGCGCGTCGCCAGCCCGGTTCGGCCTGTTCCTGCTCCCCGCACCAAGCCTATGGTGCGCTTCGTCAGCCCGGTCCGGCCTGTTCCTGCTCCCCGCCCCAAGCAAGTGGTGCGCTTCATCGGCCCGGTTCGGCCCGTCCCTGCTCCCCGCACCAAGCCAATGGTGCGCGTCGTCAGCCCGGTCCGGCCTGTTCCTGCGCCCCGCACCAAGCAAGTGGTGCGCTTCATCAGCCCGGTTCGGCCCGTCCCTGCTCCCCGCACCAAGCCAATGGTGCGCTTCGTCAACCCGGTTCGGCCCGTCCCTGCTCCCCGCACCAAGTCAATGGTGTGCGTCGTCAGCCCGGTCCGGCCTGTTCCTGCTCCCCGCACCAAGCAAGTGGTGCGCTTCATCGGCCCGGTTCGGCCCGTCCCTGCTCCCCGCACCAAGCCAATGGTGCGCGTCGTCAGCCCGGTCCGGCCCGTCCCTGCTCCCCGCACCAAGCCTGTGGTGCGCGTCGTCAGTCCGGCACAGCCCGTGCCTGTTCCACTGGTGCCTGGTCCGGCACCGGTCAGCTGCTCCACTCCGGAGCTAGAGCATTCCGCTCCACCAGTGTTCAGTCCAGCTCCGGCCAGCAGGGCCAGACCGGATCAGGGGCGCTTTGGGGGGTTAGAGAGGGAGTGGGAGTCATGCCCGGAGCCGGATCCACCGCCGAGGCGGAGTGCCCACCCGGTCCCTCCCCTGTTGTGTTTGGTTGGCGCGGCCGGAGTCCGCGCCTTTGGGGGGGGGTACTGTCACGCCCTGGCTCTGGGGACTCTCGTATGTTGAGCCAGGGTGTTAGGTTCTAGTTTTGTGTTTCTATGTTGGCCAGTGTGGCTCCCAATCAGAGACGGCTGTTGCTCGTTGTCTCTGTTTGGGAGCCATACTTAGGTAGCTGTAAGGCATTCGTTTGGTGTGGTTTCTTGTTCCTTTTGATTTGTGTTTGTATAGAAGGACTTCACGTTTCGTTTGTTGTTTTGTTCGCTGTGGTGTACAATAAAATAAATATGTACGCATCTCACGCTGCGCCTTGGCCCGCTTCTTTTCAAGACGATCGCGACACAAGGCCACTGTCTGTTTCAGTGATATGCCAGAATCCTCTGTGAGGTCCTTTGAGGGACACAGGCGGCCACACAATTTGATGGACTGAAGGAGTGCGTGTGTGCATGTGCCTGTTTGTGCCTGTGCACGAGTGTGTGTGTGTGGAGTGAAACCCGAGAGCGTGCAGTGGCTGTATGTCAGCTGTCCCTCCTGCCGTTAGGTGTCAGGGTTGTGTGTGTGTGGTGAGGACAGGTGGTCCTCAGGGTGGACTTGAATGGAGGTTTTCTTCACCAAAGAAAGCCCCAACAAAAGCCCTGTGTGTCTCAGGCCCTACACACCTGCTTCAACACACCCCACAGCGTAACTTAAACTGCTGGGCTTTTCTCTTAGCTCTAATCTGGCGGCTGCTGTTCAGATGGGCAGGCACACATGCACACACTCTCACACACAAAAACACATACACGCACACACATAGCTCTGACTTAATTTCATTGCACTCAGCTCATTCTTGGGCATATGTACAGCTGCTGTGGCTTGTTTGAGCATTGAAGGGAGACCATGTGTAACTGTCCTCGGCAGCTGTGCAGTCTGCAGTCAGAGACAGACAGACACAGAAAGAGACTGAGAGACTGTCTGCTTGTCTTTACTGGAGTTGGCAGGCAGGTGGCTTTACATTCATCTGCTTATTAGCTAGGGTAAGTAAGGCTTTCAGTGAGAAAAAATGCATTTAGAGTAGAGGTTGACCAAAGTCCCTGTTGCAGCAGGACTTAGGCCAGGATTAAATCCAATCCGCCTTAGAACTGCATTATAGCACGCTTGACATTTAAAGGTAATTTCTGCGAACATTACCTTTAAAACATGCACTTTCGGATTGAATCACAGCCTTAGTCAGAGAACTTAGGTCTACACTTTATCGTCATATACATATCAATAACAGCCCCCTGACACAGCTCCTCTTTAGAATAGGTTCCTATTGGCCAGGGTTGGACAACTGTGGTCCTGGAGAGCCACAGGGATAAGGTGTGAAGGCTTTTGTTTTAACCCAGCTTTTGACTTTGGCACCTCTGCTATAAGAAACCAGTTGAATATAAATATTTGTCCTATACTCCACCTGCTGGCCAGGGGAAGAAGTACAACTGTATTTCCAGAACCCTTCTCACCATCATCTTGATTCACAGTAACACTCCTCTCTCCCTCTCTCTCCCACAGGGTCCCATTGCGCCTCCCTCTCTGTTCGCCCCTGCCCCTGGCGGTCCCTGCCCCCCTCCCCCTCCACCACCTCCACCCCCTGGACCCCCACCAGTCTTCACAGGCGAACCGCCCCAGGCCGACAGCACCACGGCCCAGCAATCAGCTCTCTTCGCCCAGCTGAACCAAGGAGAAGCCATCACTAAAGGTAGCCAAGCCACCGTCACCCAGGGGTTGAAGAGCTCAGATCCAACTGCAGAAGGGGGAGAGAGGGAGGGAGGGAAAAGGAGGAAGAGGAGGAGAAACAGAAGGAGGAAGGGAGGGAGAGTTGAAGAGGGAGGATGTGGGTTGAATCAACAGTTACAGAGTCCTGAGAGCACCACTGCCCAGCGCTCAGCCCTGTTCGTCCAGCTGAACCAGGGAGCTGACATCACTAAAGGTAGCCAAGACAGGAGAAACAGAAGGAGGAAGAGGAGGAGAAACAGAAGGAGGAAGGGAGGGAGAATTGAAGAGAGTTGCTATGTTGTGAGGACATAGAAATAGTCATTATATTTCTATGGTGTTTATTTATCAACAGTTAGGGTCAAATTTGTTTGATTTGAGATCATCCTTTTTATTATAGATTTTTGCACTAAAACAATAACTTCTAAACAAGTGAATACAAGTAAGTACCCTCTCTCTGTCCACTAGCGTTAAAGCACGTCTCAAAGGACCAGATGACCCATAAGAACCCCGCCCTTCGCTCCCAGGGAGGAGAGCATCACTCCTCCCCACCTAAGAGCCGAAACCCCGGAGGCTCCTCCAACAGAGCGCCTCCCCAGAAACGACCCCCCTTGCTGGAGCTGGAGGGGAAGAAATGGAGGGTGGTACGTTACCTATTATCTTGCCTTGCATGCCAGGCTTCTAAGTTGTCCTATTATCTACACTGAACAAAAATATAAACGCAACATGCAACAATTTCTAAGATTTTACTGAGTTACAGTTCATATAAGGAAATCAGTCAATTGAAATAAATTCATAGGCCCTAATCTATGGATTTCACATGACTGGGAATACAGATATGCATCTGTTGGTCACAGATACCTTAACAAAAAGGAAGGGGTGCAGATCAGAAAACCAGTCAGTATCTGGTGTGACCACCATTTGCCTCATGCAGCACGACTCCTTCGTATAGAGTTGATCAGGCTGTTGATTGTGGTCTGTGGAATGTTGTCCCAATCCTATTCAATAGCTGTGCGAAGTTGCTGGATTTTGGCGGGAACTGGAACATGCTGTCGTAGATGTCGATCCAGAGCATCCCAAACATGCTCAATGGGTGACATGTCTGGTGAGTATGCAGGCCAAGGAAGAACTGGGACATTTTCAGCTTCCAGGAATTGTGTACAGATCCTTGCGACATTGGGGCCATGCATTATCATGCTGAAACATGAGGTGATGGCGGCGGATGAATGGCACAACAATGGGCCTCAGGATCTCGTCACGGTATCTCTATGCATTCAAATTGCCATTGATAAAATGCAAATGTGTTCGTTGTCCATAGCTTATGCCTGCCCATACCATAACCATGGGGCACTCTGTTCACAACGTTGACATCAGCAAACTGCTCGCCCACACAACGCCATACACGCTGTCTGCCATCTGCCCGGTACAGTTGAAACTGGGATTAATCCATGAAGAGCATATTTCTCCAGCGTGCCAGTGGCCATCAAAGGTGAGCATTTGCCCACTGAAGTCGGTTATGACGCGACACTGCAGTCAGGTCAAGACCCTGGTGAGGACGACGACCACTAAGATGAGCTTCCCTGAGACGGGTTCTGACAGTTTGTGCAGAAATGTTTCGGTTGTGCAAACCCACAGTTTCCTCAGCTGTCCAGGAGGCTGGTCTCAGACGATCCCGCAGGTGAAGAAGCCGGATGTGGAGGTCCTGGGCTGGCGTGGTTACAGGTCGTCTGCGGTTGTGAGGTCGGTTGGACGTACTGCCAAATTCTCTAAACCGACATTGGAGGCAGCTTATGGTAGAGAAATGAACATTCAGTTCTCTGGCAACAGCTCTGGTGGACATTCCTGCAGTCAGCATGCCAATTGCACGCTCCCTCAAAACTTGAGACATCTGTGGCATTGTGTTGTGTGACAAAACTGCACATTTTAGAGTGGCCTTTTATTGTCCCCAGCACAAGGTGTACCTGTGTAATGATCATGCTGTTTAATCAGCGTCTTGATATGCCACACCTGTCAGGTAGATGGATTATCTTGGCAAAGGAGAAATGCTCACTAACAGGGATGTAAACACATTTGTGCCCAAAATTTGAGAGAAATAAGCTTTTTGTGTGTATGAAACATTTCTGGGATCTTTTATTTCAGCTCATGAAACATGGGAGCAAAACTTTAAATGTTTCCTTTATATTTTTGTTCAGTATAAATGGAGGGCATGGTTGACCTTAAAAAAAGTATAGTGATTCAGGAAAGTTTAGGTGCCTCACAGATTCAAAGACCAAGACTGCCATCAGTGTGACTGTACTCTTTCAGAGGCGATTGTGATGTCTGGTGCTAAACCCAATGAGGTCATCCAAAGGTGGAGGGTCAAACAGAAGATGGGTCAGACGGTCACAGGTCTTGTTTGTTGTTTCCCCCCACAGGAGTACTTTGACCAGGCTCATGACCTGGTTATCGAGGAGACAGAGCTGAGACAGGTGGCCTATGTCTTCGGGTGCAGCAACTCTACTCTACAGATAAAGGGAAAGATCAACTCCATCATTGTGGGTGAGTTCAACCATCCATTGTTTTATTTGTTATATTATAGTTAAGTTATTAAGCTTTTATTATGTATACGGCAACACCATATACTGTACAGTGGACAATTTCTTTGTCGTCTTTGACAGCATCAATCCTGTATGCCTCTTTCTCTCTCTAATCCCTCACTGATTTCATGTTTCATGTTCACCTCTGACAGATAACTGTAAGAAGCTTGGTCTGGTGTTTGACAACGTTGTTGGCATTGTGGAAGTCATCAACTCTAAGGACATTCAGTTGCAGGTCAGCTCAAATTTCATACATGTTCAAGAAAATATGGCATCTCTTTCCTCTCTGCATCTGAAGTTCAACTCTAATGTACCCGCTATGAATATATAGTAGATGTATAGTACTGACACTTTTATTTTTATACGTTATGTTGGGCCATGATTTCTTCTGGTCAGGATAAATTCCAATCCCTAGACTAGTTATAAGATGGAAGTATCTGTGCGGATGCTCTGCCCCACTTTTGTCCAGGTGATGGGTAGAGTTCCCACCATCTCCATCAACAAGACAGAGGGCTGCCAAGTCTACCTGAGTAAGGACACTCTGGACTGTGAGATCGTCAGCGCCAAGAGCTCTGAGATGAACATCCTGGTACCGCAGGACGATGAATATGTGAGTGTGTATGAAAGTGTGTTGAGTGCTTGCATTTCAGACAGTGTGTGTGTGTGAGAGAGAGAGGGTAAGAGAGAGAGGGAGAGAGTAAGTGAGAGAGAGAGTGCAAGTATGAGACTGAGTGAGAGTGTGGCTAAGTGTGGTTTTGTTTTAAACATTGTGTGTTTAACAGAGGGAGTTCCCAGTTCCTGAGCAGTTCAAGACAGTTTGGGACGGGTCCAAACTGGTGACAGAACCCACAGAGATCGCTGGCTGATCGCTGATACTCCATCCTCCTCCTCATCTCTATCACCCCCACTTAGTCTTCTTCCTCTCCTCCCTTTTCCCTCTACGTCAAAGATTTCACAAACCCTTATAGGCTGGCTATTACAAGTAATAGAAGGGATCCTGTACCACACAAACCCTTATAGGCTGGCTATTACAAGTAATAGAAGGGATCCTGTAACACACAAACCCTTATAGGCTGGCTATTACAAGTAATAGAAGGGATCCTGTACCACACAAACCAGACACTGTAACTGACTAGCTAGTAGTACTGTAGGTTGATTGTAAGCCTGATCGTATCCATTAAGATGACTTGTTATTGGGGGGTTTTCAGCACTTTGAAATGGTAGATTGTTATGGAACTGTTTGTTCAGCTTATTTGTCGCACAGCACTCTCCTCCAAAAAACTACTGTACTATCCAAATTATTATAGGTCTACTATTTAAACATGCAGGCAGTATTTCTGTCAGGTTTCGTCGTGTGTAGAACTAGTTAAACTTCCAAACTAGTTAAAAAGGTGCATTAAAATTTGGAATAAAGAGGAAGTGTAGCCATTATGTTAATCTGTTAAATTTGCTTGTGCAAAATAAGGTAAGGTCTCTCAAACTAAACACGTATCTGGCATCTCCACTTACGTGTGTGCCATAGCAATACAAGCATTTATGGAAGTAGGCTATGTGTACATACAGGTACAATATAATGACATCTTTACAAATGAAATGCAGAAAATGCAACCCTCATAAGACAAACTATTTCATAAGCTACATTATGGATGGGAATTTTGATTGGAGAGAACCTTCAGATTCAGACCTCCTTGGCATTCTAATGTTGTTTTGTGCACTGTTGTGGTGAATTTATTTGATTGAGGCAGAAAGTATTGAAGCATGAGGTCAAGTGTTGACTTTTGATTTGAATGAGATGAAGAGAATGATGGAATTGAACAGCCAGTTGGAGTATGTTCCACAGGATATCTTAGCATACACTGTTTTGGTTTGCTTTAATACTCTACTATACTCAACTATTCACATCTAGCTGTTCAGTCAAACAGTTGTATCATGTTTATATTGCATGATAGTGTTGTAGCACCGAGTTAACATTAAATATATATTTTTTATACTGAACAAAAACATAAATGCAACATGCAACAATTTCAAAGATTTTACTGAGTTACAGTTCATATAAAGGAAATCAGTCAATTTAAATAAATTCATTAGGCCCTAATCTATGGATTTCATATGACTGGGAATACAGATATGCATCTGTTGGTCACAGATACCTTAAAAAAAAGGTAGGGGCGTGGATCAGAAAACCACCATTTGCCTCATGCAGTGCGACACATCTCCTTCGCATAGAGTTGAACAGGCTGTTGATTGTGGCTTGTGGAATTGCTGGATATTGGTGGAAACTGGAACACGCTGTCATACATGTCGATCCAGAGCATCCCAAACATGCTCAATGGGTGACATGTCTGGTGAGTATGCAGGCAATGGATGAACTGGGACATTTCCAGCTTCCAGGAATTGTGTACGGATCCTTGCGATATGGGGCAGTGCATTATCTTGCTGAAACATGAGGTGATGGCGGCAGATGAATGGCATGACAATGGGCCCCTGCCCATATCATAACCCCACCGCCACCATAGGGCACTCTGTTCACAACGTTGACATCAGAAAACCGCTTGGACGTACTGCCAAATTCTCTAAAACAATGTTGGAGGTGGCTTATGGTAGAGAAATTTACATTCAATTATCTGACAACAGCTCTGGTGGACATTCCTGCAGTCAACATGCCAATTGCACACTCCCTCAACATTTTTGACATCTGTGGCATTGTGTTGTGTGACAAAACTGCACATTTTAGAGTGGCCTTTTATTGTCCCCAGCACGAGGTGCACTTGTGTAACGATCATGCTGTTTAATCCGTTTCTTGATATGCCACACCTGTCAGGTGGATGTATTATTTTGGCAAAGGAGAAATGCTCAAATTTGTGCACATAATTTGAGAGAAATAAGCTTTTTGTGCTTATGGAACATTTCTGGGGTCTTTTATTTCAGCTCATAAACATGGGACCAACACTTTACATGTCGCGTTTATATTTTTGTTCAGTGTATATTGCATTGATAGCAGACTAGATGTCACTATTACTCAAGCAAATGTAATTGTCATAGTGAAATGGAAGGTAAAAAAAGTGAAGGATATCAATAGCGAGAGTTTAATTGCATGCATTTGATATCTCGTTTGTAAGATATAACTTGCTTATCTCTCGTTCATGTGCCTAACCCAAATATATATGGTTGTAGCATCACCACCAATAGATTGTTCTAATGTTACCAGCACTGCATTTGTAAGCCTAAATATGCGTGGATACAAATCAACATAGAGAGAAATGTTTGCGTCATGTTCAATGCGCACTGAAGCTTCTTGATATGTCTATATACCTGTTAGTCGGAATACACTACTGTAAATTTCAAAATTATATTTATTTAATGCATTTTGTATTGGGGCACAAATGCATTCAGTAGCACCGTAATTTTGAGAGGAAATACACCGTTAGTGCTTGTCACATGTTCTAATTCATAACCAGCAGTGAATTTAGTGTATGTAAATGTCTATCGTTTTTCAAAATAAAATCAAAACATTAATGCTTGTGTGATGTCTTGACATTGGTTTGGAATTGATCATGTATTTTTTTGTGGTTCATTTTATTCAGTGCCATAAAGGTGGAAAATAGTTATAATGTTCAGAGAATTGAAACTGGAAACCTCAAATAAATGTTCAAGTATGTGATAGTTCAAACAACACAAGTGATTACATTCCAGTCATTAGGAACCTAAACCTATAACCTAAACACACAAAACAAAACCTAAAATGTTCATCATTTCATTCATCTGTTTGCAGTCCAGTGTAGCTCAGTTGGTAGAGCATGGCGCTTGCAACGCCAGGGTTGTGGGTTCGATTCCCACTGGGGACCAGTATGGGGTAAAGAAATGTATGCACTGACTAACTATAAGAGCGTCTGCTAAATGACTAAAATGTTTTTTAAAAATGCACTAGCATACATGCACATACAGTTGAAGTCGGAAGTTTAGATACACCTTAGCCAAATAAATTTAAACTCAGTTTTTCACAATTCCTGACATTTAATCCTAGTAAAAATTCCCTGTCTTAGGTCAGTTAGGATCACCACTTTATTTTAAGTATGTGAAATGTCAGAATAATAGTAGAGAGTGATTTATTTCAGCTTTTTTTTATTTCATCACATTCCCAGTGGGTCAGAAGTTTACATACACTCAATTTGTATTTGGTAGCATTGCCTTTAAATTGTTTAACTTGGGTCAAACATTTCGGGTAGCCTTCCACAAGCTTCCCACAATAAGTTGGGTGAATTTTGGCCCATTCCTCCTGACAGAGCTGGTGTAACTGAGTCAGGTTTGTAGGCCTCCTTGCTCGCACACGCTTTTTCAGTTCTGCCCACACATTTTCTATAGGATTGAGGTCAGGGCTTTGTGATGGCCACTCCAATACCTTGACTTTGTTGTCTTTAAGCCATTTTGCCACAACTTTGGAAGTATGCTTTGGGTCATTGTCCATTTGGAAGACCCATTTGCGACCAAGCTTTAACTTCCTGACTGATGTCTTGAGATGTTGCTTCAATATATCCACATAATTTTCTTTCCTCATGATGCCATCTAATTTGTGAAGTGCACCAGTCCCTCCTGCAGCAAAGCACCCCCACAGCATGATGCTGCCACCCCCGTGCTTCACGGTTGGGATGGTGTTCTTCGGCTTGCAAGCACCCCCTTTTTCCTCCAAACATAACAATGGTCATTATGGCCGAACAGTTCTATTTTTGTTTCATCAGACCAGAGGACATTTCTCCAAAAAGTACGATCTTTGTCCCCATGTGCAGTTGCAAACCGTAGTCTGGCTTTTTTATGGCGGTTTTGGAGCAGTGGCTTCTTCTGGAATCTGGTTAGATCTTGACTATACTGTGGGCTGCTACAGGCACTCCAAGGGTCCTCCTGACTGCAGGTTCCCAGAGAGCCTCCTCTTTTTGTCTGGTTCCATCAACTCCTCAGATTGATGGTCCATGTTTAGATGGGGCATATGGGCCTCCTCTCAATATGCTCTTTTCCTGAAGCTCTGTCTGTCCCACTGACAGCCTGCTCCCTCAGGGCTCATCTGTAGGGTGGTGGGTTGGGCTCCTGTACTCTGTGCCCCTGACTCTGAACCCACTGCACGTTTCCATTTGGTCCCACTCCCAATGTTAACATGTCTGGGTGAAGTTGAGGCACATCTGGTGGAGGTGGAAGGTGTGGGGTCCAATGGATCCATACTTGGCTCTGTAGACGGTATCCCCCTCCCAGAGTGCAAAGAAACATGCTGTGGCCCTGTGCAACACCCTGTCGTTCTCTACAAACATCAAAGCAGTGACTCACTCCTGCAGGTTCATGCTCTACAACATCGGTAGCATACGACCCTACCTCACACAGGAAGCAGTGCAGGTCCTAATCCAGGCACTTGTCATCTCCTTTCTGGACTACTGCAACTCGCTGTAGGCTGGGCTTCCCGCTTGTGCCATCAAACCCCTGCAACTTATCCAGAACGCTGCTACCCACCTGGTGTTCAACCTTCCCAAATTCTCCCATGTCACCCTGCTTCTCCACACACTCCACTGGCTTCCAGTCGAAGCTCGCATCCACTACAAAACCATGGTACTTGCCTACGGAGCAGCAAGGGGAACTGCCCCTCCCTACCTTCAGGCTCTGCTCAAACCCTACACCCCAACCCGAGCACTCCGTTCTGCCATCTCTGGTCTCTTGGCCTTCCCATAGGAGGGCAGCTCCGCTCAGCCAAGTCCAAGCTCTTCTCTGTCCTGGCACCCCAATGGTGGAACCAGCTTTCCCCTGAAGCTAAGACAACAGAGTCCATGCCCATCTTCCAAAAACATCTGAAACCCTACCTCTTCAAAGAGTATGTTAAATAATTCCACAGCACCTAGAATAAGAGCTTCTGCTAAATGACTAAAATGTAAAATGTAAAAATGAGACGCAGGTGCCTTTTGGGCCACTGTTAGAGAGCCTTTAAAACATTATAGGCATATTAAACTAACAATACATTAATTACAGTAATAACAATTGATGACATTAATCAATTTGCTGAAGTATAGCCTAATAACGAAGCAACACTTCCTCTGCACCTGAGATTACCTTTGCACTGTGGGGTAAAACATGAGGATATGGAGCTCTGTTTGGTGACAGGCATCTGGATTTTGGACTGTGTAAAATTCAGCACCACTGCTAAACTGTAACCTCCTGACCGGGCCAGAGGATTCAGTGGTTTTGAGATGGGTCGCAATGGCCTTCTCTAGAATGTGAAATGAAGGGTTTTTAAAATAACAATTGGGAAAATGTATTCAGTCATTGTCTCCACAAGCTCAGAGCAAGGAAAACAGATAGTCTATTACGATCATAGACTTAGATACACATTGCATCATTGTATCTGTCCTATTATGGCGTCAGAGAGCACGGCCAACGCCATTAAGGCCATTTCCATTTTGAAGTAGTCAAGTGTCTTCTTCTACTACTTCTGAGTTGGCAAACAAACTGAAAAGGTGCATACTGCCACCTGGAGTGTGTTGTTTGAACAGTTATAAAGCCAAGGTTGGCGTTTTACTGCCGCCTGCATGCAGTTATGGAATGTTGCTTACAAGTATAATTAATTGGCTGATCCCTCCTGGTGACCTGGACGGAATTATGTGATCCTTCCTTAACCCATACGAAGTCCCACCAAGTTGACTACTTAAAAATGGTGAAAGTCCTCAATGTTGCTGCCAATGCTAAAACAGGCTTTTGGGCACTAGAGTCCTCTATTTATCTCTATAATTACGATAAAGAATCATAGTAATGGAGTATCTTGTTTCCATGACATAACATTCACTTTGAGCACTTTGACTGGGTAATGGCTAGAAGGGATCCAATTAAGGACAGATTTGACTTTTTGTAGCAGGTCAGGAAAAGTAAAGTAGCAGGTTAGGAGAATTAGGTTAAGGCTAGGAAAAGGATTAGGGTTTGCTAAAGTGCAAAAAAGAAATTGACGCTAATTTGACAAAAACTGGATCCATTCTAGACATTACCCTTTGACTGGTTCAGAACCAATGGGACAGAAGTTTTCCAAGGTACAGTCCCTGTTTTGCCTTTCCATTGATGTCTACAGTGTCCAGCCAAACCCCACACTCCTCCTGTGTTGAAGCCTGAGATTACGCTTTGGAGGTCTACGTGGTAAGAAAGGACAGGCTTGCATACACTAATGAATGATACTTTTGGAAATCAGCCTTCTTCGATTTGCATTGAAATGCCCGGTTTCTTTGGATTACAAAATAAAACTGTTATGAAACAGGAACTACACCCACGACATTTGTCAAAACGTATACCAGCTTTAGTTTGTATATCAGAGAGATTCTGTAGAGGTACTAGGGGAGAGCTTTTTTTCACAATTGAGCTAAAATATATGTTATCTAATTTGCTTTTTTACCTACCAAAGCTATAGTTTCGCGCGCCAGATAGTTCTTATAAAACTCCTCTCACTCACTTTATGAAAATATCAGTAGAAAATATAATTTTAATATAGCTACATTTCGTCAAGTGGTGACAAGTTTCTAAATAGTCTTGTTTGTATTTTAATACTTATTTCAAATGATCTGACTTTAAGTGAGGCAGAGAAGGGCACCTTATGTTTTGACGTCTGTGGGTCCTTTGGTTCCGCGAGGGGTGTGTTTACACCATACATAGACTGTAAACGGTTTACACTGTCACGTCAGTTTGCCAAGGGGGTGAGTGGAATATTTTTAGCAAATGTTGATTTATTATTCAGATATTGGTCGAATAACATGTGTATACTATTTGAATCGCCGTACCAGCAGTGTATTGTGAATTGTCCTCACTTATCCAGCCAATATAATGTGTCCTTAAGTGTTTGTTTAGGCTAAATAAATCACGAAGGAAATGCTAACGTTAGCTATTTAGCTAGCTTATTTTTCATAAATGATCTCATCACTTTGGGATGTTGTTGATATCTATTTATCTTGTCATGGCCCTTGCCAATATCTATAATTAGATGAATTCGCCACTCATTTAGCAACATGTAGTTTGCTAGCTAAGCTACATTACGTGTTTGCTAGCCAAGAGAGGTCTTCCTGCATTACTTCTCTCTTCGCTATCTAGTGACAGTAGCTAGCTAACTAGCTAGCAAACATGGCAGATCTGTAACGTTACAGCCACAGTTTAGTCAATGAATTCACTTTGATAGGTATTTTAATTGGCGGTTGTTCACTTACTGAAGTGTCATCCTCCAACTCTTAGCTATTGGATTGTCTGCCCTTCCTAGCTGTCAACACTGTTTATAGCTAAAGCATTTGAAATACATCTGTAACATGTATTACCTTTAATAGATCAAGTTGTGAGACAGCAGCAGTCACCATGTTTCACGGAGTAGCTGTCACGGGAGGTATGGGAGGGGGTAAGTTGGTCCTTTGTAGCTCAGATGATGGAGCTTGTAATGCCAGGGTAGTGGATTCGATTCCTGGGACCACCCATACGTAAAATGTATGCACACATGACTTAGTCGCTTTGTATAAAAACGTCTGTGAAATGGCTTATATTATTATATATTGAAGGCCTAGTGCAGTCAGAAACGTGATTTTCCTGTGTTTTATATATATTTCCACACTGAGGTTGGAATAATACTGTGAAAATTATGATAATGCACTTTTAGTGTAAGAGCTGTTTGAAAAGACCTCCTGAAATTTCTGCCTGTTTTGGTGGGATGGAGTTTTGTAAATTAGTTAATAGATAAATAAGAAATGGTTCCAAAACTCTGCCAATAACAGCAATTTTTCTGTTTTTCCCTCCCCACTCAGACCACTCCCAGACAGTCCTAGCAAAATCATTGCTTGTAAATTGCTCTTTGCTAGGGAGCTAATTGCTAGGTACTTAATTGTTACCCATAAATTATTTGATATTGAGATAACTGCTGCATTGGAACTTTAAGTTTGCCCTAAAACAGTCACAGATGCACAGCAGGCTTTTTTGTAGACATGATCATCAGAGATTTGCTCTTCTTATAAAGCATCTGTGACTGTTATGCCTTAATATTTCTCTTCATTATAGCTCCTGCCAATAAACCTGAATTGTATGAGGTAAGTGGGGTGAAGTTTTGTAGGGTTTGCATAATTGCTTCTTATGGCAGATTTGGTGGAGCTCTTTTAGATCTTTCATTTGGCTGCTGTTACCTGCTTTTTGTACCTGCATTTTATCAGAAAGAAGAAATAATGCAGTTTTGTCTGTTTTTTAGGAAGTAAAATTGTACAAGAATGCAAGAGAAAGAGAGAAGTAAGTGAACATTGACTGTAAATTAATGATGTAAGCTTTTCACAATCCATGAAGGTGAAATGTTAAAATTGAGCATTGTTCTTGTATTAATCAAGGTTTGACAACATGGCAGAGCTGTTTGCTGTGGTGAAGACACTTCAGGCCCTGGAGAAAGCTTACATCAAAGACTGTGTGACCCCTAATGAGTGAGTTTACACTCTCATTGGTTTTGTACGCATGTGTGTGTATGTGTCATAGACTGTAAATAAAGGTGTGTGTGTGTTAGAAAATCTTGTTTGTATATGTATGAGATTGTTTCAAAATTTGAGTATGAGAATCTGTTTTGAGATTGATTACTCTGTGTTTCCGTCAGGTACACGGCTGCTTGCTCCAGGCTACTGGTGCAATACAAGGCTGCTTTCAAACAGGTCCAGGGATCTGACGTGGGTTCTATCGATGACTTTTGCAGGAAGTACAGAGTGAGTTTATATCAGTCACACTGCTTTGAGTAGAGTGCCGGTCTTGCAGATAGATGTAATCCATTCAATGTAATGTATAGTGGCTGATCCCAGATGTGTATGTGCTTTAGGCAACTCTGCTGGCTGCTGAGCTATAGAACAATGTCTGAATATGAGTAAATTGGTTTGTCATATATTGTTCTCCTCTCCCTTCTCTTTTATATTAGCTTGACTGTCCGCTAGCTATGGAGCGAATCAAGGAGGATCGACCAATCACCATCAAGGATGACAAGGGCAACCTGAATCGCTGCATTGCAGATATTGTATCGGTAGGTCTCTTCGCCATGCCCATGACATTAAACACTGACTAAGTGATTTAAATCCCAGGGTTCACTTTGGGCTTTTGGCCAACATTGAAGCCTTTGCGGCCCCATGTCGATTGAATAATAAAGTGCATTCTGTTTCAGCATGAAGTCATTTTCTTAATTTGAATCATTCTCTGACTCGTCCCAGAACACTGTTGCTGCACCCTTAAGTGCCACAGCAAATTGCATCCCACATCAATCCTGCCAAGATCCAACAGGGCCGCTGAACAGAGAGGAACTACTTGATATGCTGGCATCATAGGACATATAACGCTCAAACTCTTTCATAAGCTCGGACTGATAGGACCACCCGTTTTAAAGAGTATGCTTGTGCTGCAGTAAATTTCAGGTTGCTGACAGACAGTGAAATAGTCAGTGAAACATTTATTGGCCTCTCTGTTTCTCCTCTCTTATCCCCAGCTCTTTATCACTGTGATGGACAAGCTACGTCTGGAGATCCGGGCCATGGATGAGGTAAATAGATCGGACTGAGACAAATGACAATGAACATCAACATATCACCTATAATTAGGGCTGGGAAAATCTCAGGTTCCCTATTTATAGTCTACATAGCCCAGTTTGAATATTTTTGTCCATTTATTGGCAAAAGATCTGATTGGTCAAAACACCATTAGTTGGCAAAAGATCTGATCTGATCAGAATTGGGCTGCCTGTGTAAACGCAGCCATATAACCTGTCAGGTAAAGTGGTTAGGAACAACACCAGGCCCTATGTTTGATTGTCTGATTTATTGGTTTGAATTGTTCAGATCCAACCAGACCTGAAAGAGCTAATTGAGACCATGAACAGAATGAGCAACATGCCCCCAGACAATGAGGCCAAGGACAAAGTCAGCCTCTGGTAAAGATATACCTCACTTACACACATTTAAGGCTGGTTTCCCTGACACAGGTTAAGCCTAGTCTTAGACTAAGAAGCACTTTCAATGGAGAATCCTCATTGACCATGCTCTTTAGACTAGGACTAGTCTAAATCTGTGTCCGGGAAACCAGCCCTTGTTGTCTAAGAAGGACAAAGTAGACTTAACACTAAAATAGTATAGTAATTCAGAAGGTAAAGGGTTGCTTGTTCTCCTCTGTAGGTTGACCACTCTCAGCAGCATGTCAGCCTCTGATGAGCTGGACGACTCCCAGGTTCGCCAGATGCTGTTTGACCTGGAGTCAGCCTACAATGCCTTCAACCGCTTCTTACACTCCTCCTAATCTACCCACATCATCCAGGACTGTTGTCACCTTTCTTATATCATTGTTCTACCCTTTCCTCCTCTCCTCTCTACACGTCTCCGATGTCATCTCCCCTGTTTGTGCTTTGTATTATTCCATTGAATAGTATCTTTGTTCCTCCCATCTCTGGTACAGTACCTGTCTGTCTTCTCCTTTGAACTCTGACCTAGACTCTTGGCAGCATCCAATGCTGTGGCTTTGTCCAGTGGGGTGCTCCTCCTGTTCAGTTGGATGCCTTGTTGAGTTGTAGTTCTCCAGCCTGAGTGACGGTGCACTGTGTTAAGGCTGCTCATATCAGCCTGCATTCTTGAATCTACATAGAACTATGTTTACTACTGGGTTTGACATATCAACACAAGGCCCAGTGAGTCTGATCCCTTAATAAGTCAGTTTAGCAGAAGACGATACATAAAACATGTTTTTAAAAAGTGACCTGAGATGGTTTAAGATGTTTGGTTGGCTTGATAAGGGATGGATAATCCCTTGACAAGTGATGGAATAACATTTAGAAAAGAACAAACTGCAATTTTTGGTGAAATCCAGTATGTTTCTGTTCCCCATCTGCACTCCGAGACAGTCCAATAACTTGTGTAGAGGTTATTACTTTAACTCCAGTTGTAACAGGTGGTTAGGTTAACTTGCTTGACAGGTGGGCCTTAAAATAGTTATGAGTTGTATGTAATGCACCCTTATTGATGATTATGTTGAAACACTCTGATGAAGGAAATGTGGCTGTTATCTATGACTTTGTTTTTCTAATTTGATATGAGTAAAAATATAATAGTACTACTACTTCAGTTAATGTGCGTAATTCAGCTTTTCTTTAGATGTGAGGGTTTGGCCACATCAGGTGGGCAATGGAGACAGGTGGATTCATAGAATTCCCTCTTCCTTTTGGGATGCTGACTAAATGTGTTTCATCCCTCAATTATATTTTGGGAGAGCATATTTATTAAAATTTATCATTGTAAATAATGCAACTTAGAATTTATAAAAGCATGTAACAACATTTGTAGAAATAAAAATCTACCTCCAACTTTGGTGTCTGCCTTTTATCATGCTTTAACATTTATGTGTGAATTCTATGGTTATTCATTGCACGTTTTGCTTTGTATCTTATGGAGGACTAAAAGTGCCACAATTAAATAAATAAATACACCATTAAATAATTACTTAAATGTGTCATTAATTAATTAAAATTAGAATTAAATACATAAATGTGTTATTAAATGTGTCATTAATTAATTCAAATACCGATTCATTTTATGTAAAATACATATATAATAATTTCACTATTTACATTTACATTTCATGGTCCTGCGTTGGAGTGCTTCCTGAATTACTTAAAACTGTCAAACTGACCCATCAAAAGTTGGTAGGCGGAACCTAACGCCTGATTGGTTACCCTCTGCATCAAGCCAAGACAAATCAATTCCGGATAATGTCAGCAGGTCCTGCTTCTACATCCTCTGCTAAGTTTAAAATGTCTCTAACCAACTCCCTGGAAAGTTCACGGAGATCCTCCATTGTCTCTATCCAGGTTGGCCTACTCTACTTCAGACCAAAGCAATGGATCAGACTAGATTCGCGTTAGCCCCGCCCACTGACTTTGATGGGTCAGTTTGACAGTTTTAAGTAATTCATGAATCACTGCAATGCAGGATCATGAAATGTAAATAGTGAAATAATTATATATGTATTTTACATAAAATGAATCGGTATTTGAATTAATTAATGATACATTTAATTACACATTTATGTATTTAATTCTAATTTTAATTAATTAATGACACATTTAAGTAATTATTTAATGGTGTATTTATTTATTTAATTGTGGCACTTTTAGTCCTCCATAGTATCTTGGACATCTTGATGAGGCTCCTCGGTTCAGAAAAGAAAGAATACGGCTCCTTTAAAAGCAGTCTTAACGCGTTCAGCATTAAAGATGCGTCTCCAAGACGACGAACAATTACAAAATGAAACCGATATGCTTGTTTGCATCCAGCAGCAAAGCCCTGTCCGCTGTCGCAGATATCCTTGAACCTGACTTTTTCAGTGCTTTCAAAAAAGACCGTCGGTAATTTTATTTTAGGGATGTATCGGTGGGCAACAACTGTGATTGAACAGTAACCATTCAACATTAGCTCAGAAGTTCAAAGAACCTAGCTTGCTGGCTGCTAAACAACATAGCTAGCTAAAATCACGGGTTTTATATTTAACTCATTCAAACGAAAGAGGGGATGTTTAATTTTTGAGGGTGTGAAGATTCCAGCTGCAAGAAGTTGATACGTTGTTGCCTTGAATCACGTTCATGATCAAATGTTTCTTTGCAGAATTTCAACTTGGGGCTGAGACTGTTACATTGTAAATGAAGGCATGAAAAGCATTGCATAGAGTTATCTAACCAAAGAATAAGGATGAACGTCACGGAGGTGGAGGATCATATTTCCATGAAATATGAAATAAAGAGAAGACTTGGAAAGGGCGTAAGTAATTTTGGCTGTCCCCAGTTTTTTTTAGTTCTGTGAAAAGTTATTTGTTGGGAAGAAAGTCGAACTTTTGAATGACAGCTGTATTGCACACTGCTATCAAAAAATAATAGTAGCTACAATAAGCAAGTGGTTGTGTACGTTTTCTGTTGCTTTTGTTAATGTATTCTAAATGAATAATCAATGATTTACTCTCAATTGCACACATTGTTACTTTTCACTTTTTACTCCCCAGTCTTTTCTTTAAGAAAAATTCTTACAATTCCCCAGAATTAAAGTCCCTTTGAATAATGTCATAAGCTAGAGGATTGTCAACTTTTTCAGAACAAGCTGTTTCTTTCAGCCAGATCAGCAGACTTTGATACTTGGGAAAGAGAAAAATCAGGGACTTCAGAGCTTTTTTGTTTTTCCCCAGACATAGACATAGAATAATGGAAGCCCTGTTTTCTTTCCCTTTGACAAACCAATAATGGAGTTTCTCCCCATGTGCTAAAATAAGCATCAGGGAGGCTAGATCTATCTCTGAACTGTATAGTGCCAGATGGCAAACCTGCGACACTGTTGAGTCATGTAGATACATCACACAATTGCTAACTAATCTTCCCTTGAGCGGAGGCCATTGATCATATTACACTTGTTAACAGTTAACTACAGTTTAATTTTACCCAAGGAAGTAATGTGTTGTTTGGACTATTCCTAGGTTACAATACCAAGAATTTCCAAGACTGTAATTTGTCAAAAACATGTATGATTTTGATGTATCTTTTTATTTTTTACATCCCCCAAAAGTCACCCTTGACTACCACTATTTCCCCAGGTTTCAGTCCATCTGACAATATTATAGTAAGCCTTGCTTTGCTCGTTAAGCAGGAAGTCACTGACGCCAGGTGGGGACTGCCCACAGAGGGACCAGTGTCTAGTGAACCTGATCATGTGTTCTCTCACTCAGCTCAGCAGTGGGCTGTCTGTCAGGGGACCCATTGTCATAACCAGTCACCTCTCCTCGATGTGCTGCTGATTCTAAAAGTGCTTAGTAATCTCTCCCTAGAACGTTCTTTATTTCCTTCCTCTCCACTCTACTTCGCTGTCTGTTTTCATATTGTGATTTTAGTTTCTCTTAGGGCTCAACTACAGTATTGTGGCAGTTTGTTTTACCTTTTAATACGTATAATGATTAACTAACAGTTGTATATCTCTTTATCCACAACAGTTGTTTACCTCTTTATCTGTGTCCAGGCATATGGGATTGTATGGAAGGCTGTGGACAGGCAGACAGGAGAAGTTGTGGCTGTAAAGAAAATATTTGATGCCTTCAGGAATAGGACTGATGCCCAGGTTTGTGATTCATGATGATATTGGTAATTGACATTGGCTACTAGTTTTGTCTGCCACTAATTACAGAGGTATACCTTAATACTGTATATGTTGTGCCAGTTTGTGAAGCGTACCAAAAAAGACCCTGTTCAACAACCTTGACTATATCTAATTATAATTGAATGGAAATACTGTAACAGCCAGGGGTTCTCAAACAGCTTGTTTATAAAAATAAATAAATGTTAATGATGAAATAGATTGTAAATTAAGATTTTTGGCCTTTCCTAACTCGTCACAATGTTTCTTTCTCAACAGCGGACATTCAGAGAAATAATGTTTCTACAGGTAAGAATGAATACCTATATCAGTTAGTGTAACAGTGTTGCTTACGTCCCTCTCCTTTCCCCAATCTGGGCTCGAACCAGGGATCCTCTGAACACATCAACAACTCTCCCACAAAGCATCGTTACCTATCGCTCCACAAAAGCCATGGCCCTTGCAGAGCGAGTGATGTCACCGATTGAAACACTACTAGTGCGCACCGCTAACTAGCTAGCCATTTCACACCGGTTGCATAGTAGTACTTTACTACTATAGCCCATAGAAACGCATTGAATAACTCATTCATAAATGGAAAAACAGACAGTCAAAAAATAAATCATAAGGAATAAGGTTTTTAAATGTCTGTCATATATCTAGGAGATGTAAGAAAGCTCAGGAAATATTTCTGTTTTTTGGACACATTTAAGCCCTTTTTTTTATTGCCACAAAACTACCTCCATACTTACAAGTACTTGGGAGTATGGCTAGACAGTACACTGTCCTTCTCTCAGCACACATCAAAGCTGCAGGCTAAGGTTAAATCTAGACTTGGTTTCCTCTATGGTAATCGCTCCTCTTTTACCCCAGCTGCCAAACTAACCCTGATTCAGATGACCATCCTACCCATGCTAGATTACGGAGACGTAATTTATAGATTGGCAGGTAAGGGTGCTCTCGGGTGGCTAGATGTTCTTTACCATTCGGCGATCAGATTTGCCACCAATGCTCCTTATAGGACACATCACTGCACTCTATACTCCTCTGTAAACTGCCATCTCTGTATACCAGTCACAAGACCCACTGTTTTATTTATTTTTTATTTATTTTATTTTTTAGGGGTAGATCAGCTTTAAT